AAGATGACATATGAGGATGAGTGAAAAGCCCTGAGAAGAGATTTTTTTGGAGGGAGGGAAGGGCCATAACAGTATTGGAAGGTTTGTGAATTAAAGAGATTGGACTTTTTCTGCTTGGCCTCAAAGGACAGAAGGAAGAGTAAAAGAAGGAAGCAGATGTGGGCCTAGTGTCAGGAGGGCCGTACTACCAAGGAGATCCATCCAAGACCAGCCTCAGGCCGCAGGGAGCTCCCCCTGGCCAGGGCTTAGGCTGGGCTGCGAGACCTCCAGCGTCCCTCCCGAGTCTGAGATCTTGTGACTCTGCTCACTCAGTGAGAAGATGGCCAGGCTCTGCCTGGAAGGTGGGGAGGCCTCGCTGAAGGGATGGGCATCCGCTGACTTCCCACTTGTGCATTCTAAAACATGGCAAAGATTGCCGTTCCGTGGGCTGCTTTGCCAAGTTGTCAGTCACCCCTCTCTGAAGATGTTCAAGGCATTCTAAGTACAAAAACACTTCAAAAGCAGAACCCAGTGCCTTGGGAGGGAAGGAGTTCTCCATTACTTGGGGTCTTCCGGTAGAGGCCCCCTTTGCTGGAGATGTTTGATGAGGAGATGCCCGCAGGGATGAGGTCCTACTCCACCTCCGGTAACCAGGGAGGGCATCCTGGCAAGAGGGAAGAAAGAGATGGGGAGGAGGGGGAAAAGGAGGGCTGGGGAAAGGAGGGGAGAGCAGGACCATCTCCTAGGCTTCAGGGTAGGCCCTAGCAAGACGACTGGAGAAACAGAGAGGGAATGGGGTTGGCGTGGGCCGGAAGACTCTCCAAAGGAGGGTGGGGCTGGCCGGAAGAAGAGTGAGAAGAGAGATGTGGGGAGGAGGGAGGCTGGGAGGTGACTGGGAGGAGGCGACAGAACGTGGGGGTGGGGTGGGGAGGTGCTTTGTAAAGGCTGAATGGGGCCACAGGAGGAGGAAGAAGAGGGAGAGAAGGGGAGGGAGAACAGGAGGAAGAGGGGAAGTGAAGGTCCCCTGGAGCAGCCAGGCTTCCCCATCAGAGACAGGTGCCAGTAGGCAGGAGCCCAGAGGCTGAGCTTCGTACATCATGATCAGTTAGGGTTCCACCATGGCATCACCCCCGCCCTATGCATGCTCACTGGCACAGCCAGACACCCCCATGTTGGGCCTTGCAGGTGTTTGACCCCTTCAGTAGCCCCAGCCCCCGTGTGTGTGTGTGTGTGTGTGTGTGTGTGTGTGTGTGTGTGTGTGTGTGTGGTGGGTCAGCATGTCTAGATTTCTGAACAGGAGTCCCAGTAAAAGTCCATGAGTGAACGTGGCTGACACACGCCTTGGGATCCAGCCCCACAACTCACCCTGAGGCAGGCAATCCCAACCACAAGCACTCCAATGGAGACAACAGGCAAAGAGCTACGTACATAGGAGATCTATCCAATGTAAATGGAGGGCAGGCTCCCAGGACAGGATAGGTGGGGTAGAAAGGGCCTTTGGCAGAAAGTGATGGTTCTGCACCAGAGACTAGAAAGAAGCCAGTGTAGCCTGGAGGCAGAGGTGAGGAGGGAGGGTGTTCCTGGCCTGGGGCACTGCTAAGGCAAAGGCTGGCAGGAGGGAGGTGGGAGGAGCATCTTGTGGGAGAAATCACAGCCTGGAAAGGTAGGAGTGGGCTTTAAAAGCCAAACGAGAGTTCATATTTTACCGGGAGGTAATAGGGAGCCACAGTAAAACGAGCTGGAGAAGGAAATGACAAGAAAACCCCAAAAGGGGTCACGGAGAGTCAAACAGGACTGAAACAACTGAACCACAACAAAAATGCCGAGGGGAGGGAGAGGGGAGATGTGCCCAGTTCTAAACGTGCAGTGCTGGGGACCGGAGGGGAGGGAGGAAGAAGCAGATCTCAGAGTGTGCACATGTATGTGTGTGACTGTCAGTTTTTCCAGGTGGATGGTTCTGTATCCGAATGTGCGAAGACGATTTAGGATTTTGAGCCCCGGCTGGAGTTCCCGGTAGTCTCCACAGCATGCTTGAAATAGTTGGAGGGAGGAAGGAAGGAAGGGGCCAGGAGAGGCTTGGCCGACAGGCAGAGCAGGTGGAAGGGCTTGGGGGTGGGCAGGGCAGGAGTTTCCCACAGATGAGGAGTGTGCTGATCAAAGAGATGGGAGAGGAATTCCCCTGCAAGCCCCCAAGGCCCAGGGGAGGCAAGTGCCCTCATCCCAGAGGCCTCTGCAGTCCTGGGGCCCCCTCAGGACACTCCAGGGGACTGACCCTTGCTAAAGGCCATTCTAGCCTTGTTCTCTGCAAGACCCAGTGCCCTTCCCATTCTCTGGGAGTCCCATCCTATACAAAGAGCTTTCTGTTGTCCAGTCATTTCAGTCACAGTCCAAACCTCCATGACCCCCGTTTGGGGTTTTCTTGGCAAATATATTGGCATGGATTGTCATTTCCTTCTCTAGCTCATTTTACAGATGAGTAACCTGAGGCAAGTAGGGTGAAATGACTTGCCTAGAGTCACACAGCTAGTGTTCGAGGCCAGATTTGAACTCAGGTCCTCCTGACTCCAGGCCTGGTGCTCTATCCACTGCACCACCTAGCTGCACATACAAAGAGCTATCTGCCTCATTTTACAGAGCCCAAGGAAGTGAAGCATGTATTAAGTGACTACTGTGTGGGCAACTTTAGAGACCTCTCCCCTCCAAACGTTCACGGGGACTGTTTGTGCCCGAGTCTTCCAGGCTCACACTGGTGTGATCAGCCACAGTCTGTACCTTGACTCCAGTATCGTGATGTCATTTAGGTCCTCTTCCAGAACGAAGGAAAACCGAGGTGGCACAGTAGATAGAGCTCCAGCCTTGGCATCAGGAGGACCCGAGTTTGAATGCGGCCTCAGACACATGACACTTCCTAGCTGCGTGACCCTGGGCAAGTCATTTAACCCCCATTGCCTCACCAAAAAAAAAAAAAATAAGGCAAATAACCAGCTATGTGCCAGGAGCTTTATAAATATCTCATTTGATCCCCACAACAACCCTGCTATTATTAAGCCTGTTTTACAGTTGAAGAAACTGAGGCAAACAAAAGTCAAGTGACTTGCCCAGGGTCACACAGCTAGGAAGTGTCTAAGACTAGATTTGAACTCAGATCTTCCTGACTCCAGGCCCATCATTCCATCCAACCTACCACCTAGCCGTCTGAGCAGACTTCTGTTGAGTTCACTCAAGTGAGCTCCTGGGCAAAACCCAGGTGTCCTGGCTCCCAGGCAAAGGTTTTCCCCCAGAAGTGGGAGACTCAGAGGATTCCCGAATCTGAAACATCTACTTCCATCGCTCCCATTTCACAGATGAGGAAGTCAGAAGGCAGCCTGTCCAGGTGAAAGCGCCCGCCACTGCTGCAAATCGCCTTGGATTACTCTCTGTCCTCCTTTGCTGTGGTTTTTCGGTTGCTTCCAACTCTTGGTGACCTCCTTTGGGGTTTTCTTGGCGGGGATACTGGAGTGGTTTGCCATTTCTTTCTCCTGTGCATATGTTGTATCTTCTTTGTAAGCAGAGCCCTAACTAAGATGGGGCCAACCGGGCTTAGCCTCAGGGCATTAACATCAGTCCACGAATCACAGTGCTCCTCTATGGGGTTACCACCTTCTTTCAACCTTTTTCTCTTTTCCTGCCCCTTTCCCCATCACCCCCCGAATCTGATGGAGAATCCTAGTGGCTCCAATGTTCCCCCACCTGTCTGCTGGCCCCCCTCAGCTCTTACTGCCACTCCCCCCCCCTCTGTTCCCCTTCAATCAATTGATTAAATAGCAAGCATTTATATTTAATTACACTTACTAAGTGCCAGGCACTAGAAACACAAAAACAGAAATGAAACAGTTCCTGCCTTCAGTGAACTTACAGTGGGGGTGGGATGCGGGGAGGGAACAATACATATACATATAGGACCGTACAAAAGATACAAAATGGATTCCAGAAAACTTTGGGAGAAGGGCACTAGCAGCTGCGACAGGAAGGGCCTTATACAGAAGATAGCTTAAGCAGAGTCTTAAGAGAAACTAGGAATTCTAAGTGTAGAGGGGGAGAAGGGAGTACATTCCAGGCAGGAGGGACAGCCAGTGCAAAGGCAGGGAGGTGGGAAATGGGACTCTCCAATGAGGAACTGTGACAAGGCTCTTTTCCCGGCTTTCCAGCCTCCAAATGAATTTGCCCCAGGTAAGTACCTAGCTCAGTAACAGGCTGTGCCCTTAAGGGCAGGGATTATTTCATTTGTGTGTTTTTATTTTTAGTGTGTCCTTAATAAATATTTGTCAAATGAACTGAAATAAATGGAAAGAATTCTGGGTTTAGAGTCAGTGGGCCTGAGTTTCAATCCCAGCTCTGCTACTCACCGAGTCACATGACCCCCTTCTAGGCCTCACAGTTGGATAAGATGATTCCTGAGACCCTTCCCAGCTCTGAATCCCCTGATCCTCTGAGAGAGGAACCCACCTGCTCCAAAATCACCTGACAGGCAGGTGAATGGAAGAGGCCTCTGTACCCTTAACGGGGTGTGTGTGTGTGCCTGCACACGCTGGTGGGGGGTTTGGCTGCATTTAGAGCTGACATGAATATATAGCACTTTAAGGTTCATAACGTGCTTCACAGATGATATCCTTCGTATCTCACAACATCGGGCAGATGAGGAAGGTGGGGCTGAGAAGTTAAGTGCAGCTATTGGATTCAAACTTGGGTGTCTCCTGATTCCAAGGTTTTTCCATGAGGTGTGTGTGGGGGGGTTGTATTTGAGGTCCCTCCCCCCAGATCCCAAAGGTGCTGCTCCTCAGGGTCCTCCACACACCCAGGCTTTTAGGGAAGGGGCCAGGGGAGCCCAGGAGAGGGTTCCCAAGCCAGGCCTGTTGAGAGGAGAGTGCCCCAGGGAGGGAAATAAGTCTGGTGGTGTGTTTTTTGTGGGTGTGTATTTTGCCTTCCGCTCCTTTTCCTGTGGGGGGGGGGAGACCACGGGCCGACACCAATGAGTTGCGGGGCCTCTGTCACATGGCCCTGGCTCTGACAGCTTGGAGGTGGAGGGGGGAGAGCCAATGTGGTCCCACCAGCCGCCAGACGTCAGGACTGAGGAACCGAGAGGGAGAGCTGGGGATCTTGGAGCCCCCCTCCAGGGCCCTGAGCTGGCCAGGCACCCAGGTCCCCTTGCCCTCTTGCCCCGCTCTGGAGGGTGGCCAGCTCTCAGCTCGGCCCTTCTGCTCCCCCCACCCCCAGCCCAGGAGGCAGATACATCATGTTCTCCAGGAAGAAGCGGGAGCTGATGAAAACCCCATCCATTTCCAAAAAGAGCCGTGCGGGAAGCCCCAGCCCCCAGGCCCCCTCGGTGAGTGGTCCTGGCCTGCTGGCTAGGGGGAGGAGGCTGGGCAGACCCTGGGCCAGGGCTGAGCACAGATCTGAGGCTCCTGAGAGTCAGAGCTGGGAAAGACCCTTGGACACCGGCTAATCCCACCCACTCATTTTAAGGCAGGGAAACTTAGGGTCAGAGAGGGGAATTGCCTTGCTTAACGGTCCAAAGAGGACATGCACCCCAAACCTCAGCTTATTCTCTGGGGCGGGCGGAAAAGGGGGAAGGGCCAGAGATGAGAGGAGCTAGCTACTTAGGGTGGATGGGTCAGGAAATGAACCCTCAAAGCTAGATAAGGAAGGGTCTCCACGCTGGAGTGAACCAGGGGTCTGGGAGCCTAGAATGGGTCAGAGCTCAGTGTCTCCCCAATTCCTTGGCTCCCCCCACTTTTTCCCTTGAGATTCGGGTGTGGGCCCCCAAATCGAGTTGGGTTTTGGTTAGCCTTAAGGAGATTCTAAGGGGATCACTGTTGTCTCAGGGTGGGGGTGGGGGGCTTGCTCCCTGGGGATACACTGGGCTTCATCAGCAGTGGTCACGCCCATACTTGGCCCCCCCTCCTTTCCCTGCCCTGGGTCCTCCCCCACCCCCATGAAGCAGCGCCCAAGAAGCTCTCTAGGTGGGGCTCCCCCTCCTACCCTGTGTCCCACCCTAGGGGCACTGGAGGTCAGGGGGATGCTAAGCCGGCGACTGGGGACAAAGCAGAGCTACAGTCCCTACTCAGTTGGTCTCAGGGGGGCTGAGTCTCTCAGCAGAGACCCCCGCGTGCGGCTGAAGGTAGGCCTGGCCAGGGCACTGAGAATGGCGGGAGGAAAAGGGGGAAGTTGGGTTCCCAAGCCTGGTTGAGCAGAGGGGTGGGGGGAGGACCTGCAGTCAGTTCCCCCTCTGACCCTCCTGTCTGAGCTGGACACCTGCCTGTCCCTCTAAGGACTGGGTGGTTTTCTCTTGAACTCAGGACCACTCCAGGAAGCTGCCGCTTCTTCCCAAGGGTTATTGAGGGCCATCTTGGAAAGACTGTGGGACATCGAGGGTTCTGGGGGGAGATCAGGGAGCTATAAGGGGTTTCTGGGAGATGGTGGGGAATGCCTATGCCTTGAAGAATGCCCTGCCTCCCTATCTTCACTCATCCCTCAAAGCTCAACTCCAGAGCTCCATTTTACTGAAAGCCTTCCTGACTGCCCTCGGGCTTCCCTAGTACCCTCACTCATCAAGGGCCATTGTGGGTCATTAGAGTTATTTGTGTTGGCGTCTTATCCCCTTGGAGGTCATTTAATCCTACCCTCTCATTTTACAGATGAGGAAACTGAGGCCCAGAGAGGTTAGTGACTCTTGCCCAGGATCACATACTCTCAGACACCATCTCCTTAGCCAGGGGTTCAATTTCCAAGTCAGTCTTTCCTTTCCGTATTCCTTGCCTTCAATGATGAAAAACCCCACCACTGTCCCTTAGGTTTTCAGTTTCTTGCCCCATATGTCTGGCAAGAATCTTCCGATCTCTGATGAATGTGATGAGGGAGACCTAGGGTTCTCTGGGGAATGATGCACTTAGCATAGTGCCTGGCACACAGTAGATGCTTAATAAATACTTGACTGACTTATGGGGAGTATCTATGGGGCTCTTGGGATCATGAAACATCACACTTGGAATGGACCTTGGAAATCATAATTCCCTCATTTTAGATCATGGGAAACTGAGACCCAAAGAGGTCTTGTGCACGATCCCATAGAGGGAGGTGATGCTGGGATTCCAACCCAGTGAGGGCCCTGCATCGTGGCATCTTCGGAGGGACACTGCTCTCTGCTTCCATCTTTGGTACCAGCTGGGAGGCGGTATTGGTAGAGTGGAATGGGGACTGGATTTGGAGTTTGAGGATGTGGCTTTGAATCCTGACTCTCCTACATATCACCAGTTATATTTTCTTCTCTTGGTCAAAGTTTCCTCATCTATAAAATGATCAGATGATCTTTAAAATTCCTTCTACCTCTAAGTACGACTCTCCCAGTTCTGGAGCTCCTGATTGTCTCTCTGCCTTTATATGTCCAGATTCCTGGGGGCAAAAGGAGACATTCTGTGGGCTAGTACCACCCTGCCTCTTAGCAGAGAGGAACAGCAATGTTAACAAACATTTATGAAGTGCCTACTATGTGCCTACTTTGTCCTCGAGGCAAGGGAACAAAGCTGTGGGGGATTTTTTGCTGTTGTTATTTTTAAACAGGGGGAAGTTTATATTTTGGTACAATATGAGGTAGAATATGATGGGAGCAAAGGAGAAATCCAAAGTGCTTTTGGAATATTTGAGGAGGGAGCAAATACCTTTAACTGGGGGGATCAGGGAAGGCCTCATAAAATAGCTGGCCCCTGAGCTGAGTCTTGGAAGAAAATGAAGATTCTGAAGAACAGAGATGAGGAGGGAGGGCATTCCAGGGGAGGTAGTGTTTTGTGAAATATAAATGCATGGATGTGGGAGACTTTGGTACAAGATTAAGGGAACAGTTCTCTTGTCCAATTTGGCTAAAATGTACAGTTCGTCAAAGTAAATGTGAAATAAGAATAGAAAGGTTAAAAAAAATTTTTAAAGAATAGAAGGGTAAAAATTAATAGCATAGAAAAGTTTAAAAATAGTTAAAATTTTTAAAAAAGAAAAGAAATTTTTTTTAAAAGAATAGAAAGGTAAAAAATAATTAAAAAAATTTTTTAAAAGAATAGAAAGGTAGGTTGGGAGGCTGATTGTGGAGGATCTGGAATGCCAGGCTAAGGAATCTTCATTTCACCTTAAAGGAAATAGTCACTGAGCTTTTCAGAGCAAGACGGTAGAATGGTCAGAGGTTCAGAAGATTTTAGGGTTTTTTTTGCTCCAGTGTGAAGGCTGTATTGGAGAGAGGAAAAACTGAAAGCAGAGAGGCCGGTTCTGAGTTGATTGACATCTGTATAGACGGAAAGGGGCAGATCTGAGAGGCGTTGTAGAGGAAGAATGGATTGGATGTGGGGGGTGAGGAAGAGGGAAGAGTCAAAGATATCTGAGCCTGGGTGCCTGGGAGGATGGTGATGTCCTCAAGAGAAACAGGTCTAGCTTTGGGGAGTGATGGGGCATTCGTTTAGGGAGTTTGGGGCACTGCAGGTCCTGCAGGTGGGGAGATCCCCAAGGCCGTTAGAAACGTGGGCCCCCAATCCCCTGGAAAGAAAGGCTTGTGTCTTGCCCCACCCTGCCCTGGGTCCTGTGGCCCTTGAGCACAAAATGGTTCCCCAGGTGGCCTCCTGCCCCTTTCTAATTCACCTGGGCCTTGACTTGAGGGTCTTGCTCTCCATTCCCCATCTACGGCTTGGCCTTCTGGGGAAGGATGAGCAAGAACCCAGGTGTTGAAGCTCATCTCCAGGAGGTCCCAGAGTGAAGTCCCCATCCTAGGCAGAAGCTGAACAGGAAGTTGTAGACGGGAGTCCTGCCCATGGACTGGTAGAGCCACATGCCCTCTGGGGGCCCTTCCAGCAATGAGCTTTTGTGACTGTGGCACCCTGTTTCCCTGAGACTGGGGGCAGAGCTGAAGTAAGCAGCCCCACCCCACCCCCACCATGCTGCAGTCAGAGCAGGAAGAGAGGGCTGGGCTGCCCTGCCCTGTGGTTTGGAGGTTCTGTAGAGTTGCTTGTGAAAGGGCCCCCAAGCAGGAGGAAATTGAGTAACAGAGGGAGGCCTGGAAAAACGGTGGGGAGGAACCCCACAACAAATCTCACCCCTTTGCCTTTGACCTGTAAACTCAGGGATACCCCATAACTTCCCAGTGGGACTTGAGAACATCAGAGCTAGGAGGGCTCTCAGAGTTCAGAATGTGTACATCCTGGGGGACCTTGGAGTCCAATCATATGCAAAAAAAACAAATTGAAAGTATTAGAGGGGAGGGGCAGCTAGATGATGCAGAGGATAGAGCACTGGCTTTGGAGTCAGGAGGACCTGAGTTCAAATCCGGCCTCAGACACTTACTAGCTGTGTGACCCTGGACAAGTCACTTAACCCCATGGTATATACAGAGAGAGAGAGAGAGAGAGAGAGAGAGAGAGAGAGAGAGAGAGAGAGAGAGAGAGAGAGAAAGGAGTCATTCAATCTCTACTTGAAGACCTTCATCAAGAGGGATCCCCTGACCTCTGGAGGAAGATCATTCCACCTTAGGACAGACAGCAGGTTTTCCTTAACTCTAGCCTGGAACCCCTTCCCCCATTGTTAATTCTGCTGCTTCCAAGGAGACCAGTCAGTAGAATCCCTCTTCCACAAAACAGCCCTGGCTGCTTGAAGCCAGCTGTATCCTCCACAAGACTTCATTTCTGCAGGCTAAACTTTTCCGGTTCCTTCAGTAAGTCCTCATATGACTTGATCTCAACCACCAGTCCCACTGCCTTCCTCTGGACACCCTCCAGCTTGTAATAATAATAACAAGAGTAGTAATAATAACAGTGCTTTAGTGTGAAGGCTGTTTTCAGAGAGAGGAGAAATTGAAAGCAGGGAGGCTGTTTGAGGTGATGGATTACACCAAAGGAAGGGGGCAGATTTGAGAGGTGTTGGGGAGGAGGGACAGACTGGACTTAGCCAGGTGTGGGTGGTGAAGAATATTCCAATATCTTGGAATATTGGAGGGGGGAGTGAATCCCTTCAGCTGGGGGGATCAGGGAAGGCTTCATAAAGGAGCTGGTGGGGCAGGTAGGTGCGATGGCTAGAACACTGGGCTTGGAATCAGGAAGACTCTTCCTGAGCTCAAATCTGACCTCAGACACTAGCTGTGTGACCCTGGGCAGGTCACTTCATCCTCTTTGCCTCAGTTTTCTCATCTGTAAAATGAGCTGGAGAAGGAAATGGCAAAGCACTCCAGTATCTTTGCCAGGAAAACCCCAGATGGGGTCATGAAGAGTCAGACACGACTGAAAAAAATAAAAATAAAGTAGCTGGCCCTCGAGCTGAGACTTGGAGGAAGACAAAGGTGCTGAAGAGCAGAGATGAGGAGGGAGGGCATTCCAGGGGCAGTGGTGTTTTGTGAAACATAAAATACACAGAGGTGGGAGACTGCAGCCTGAGATTAGGGGAGGAGCTGTCCGCAGTGCTTTCAGGTTTGCTAAGCAATATATACATACGTGTGCGTGTGCATGTGTGTGTATTAACTCCTCTGAGCCTCACAATAACCCTCTGAGAGAAAGAGATGTTATTATTGTCCCTATTTTGTTGTCATTCAGTTACTTCTGCTGTGTCTGACTCTTCATGATCCTTTTTGGGGAGTTTTCTTGGGCAGAGATACTGGAGTGGTTTGCTACTTCCTTTCCCAGCTCATTTGACAGATGAGGAAACTGAGGCAAACAGGGTAAAGTGACTTGCCCAGGGTCACACAGCTAATAAGTATCTGAGGCCATATTTGAACCCAGGAAGATGAGTCTTCCTGATTCCCAGTCCAGTGCTTTATCCAACTATACCACTTAGCTGCCCATTTTATAGAAAAAGAAACTGAGGTCGAGGGATGCTAAATAAATAACTTGTCCCAGGTCACACAGTTGGTAAGTATCTAATGTGGGATTCAAAATCAGATGTTCCTGACTTCAATTCTAGCACTGTATCTGCTATGCCAAACTGCCTCTCAATGTTTCTTTTAAATTGTGCCAACCAGAGTTGGACATGATAAAGGCAGATTACAGAGGCATTATCATCTACTCACTCCTGAAAGGCATTAGCCTTTATTTTTTTTTTTGACTGTCACAAGACGTGCTTGACCCATATCAAACTTGCAGCCCACTAAAATCTGAAGGGATGTTTTCTAAACAAATGATTGTTTAGCCCCACCTCTCTATCGTTTTAATTCTGCTATTGAGTTTTTGAACCCAAGGGTAAGACTTTACATTTATTTATCCCTACTGAACTTTGTCTCTGCTCTGGCCTGTCATCCCAACTATCATTGAGTGTGTCACCTATCAGTCCCAGTTTTGTGTCACCTGCCACTCTGATAAGCAGAACTTTGATGTCTTTATCCAAGCCTCTGATAAACCAAACACAGATCCCTGGGGCACTCCACTGGAGACCTCCTGCCAAGCTGACATTGCATCATTAATGACTTTCTGAATCTAGCCATCTGACCAGTTCTATATCTAATTGGATTACTGTCTAGTTCCCATCTCTGCATCTTCTCCACGAGAATAATAGGATGCTCTTATCAAATTCCTGGCTAAAAACCTCTGTAAGGTTGTACTTACATCATTCTCTCTTCTACCTGTTACAAGATGAAAGGAGGTTAATCAGGCATGACCTGTTTTTGATGAAACCCTGCAGGTTCCCTGTGACCACTGCCTGCTTCTCGTTTCTAGATTTCTAGCTCATATAACCCAACCCTTTCATTTTACAGATGGTGAAAGTAAGACCAAGAAAGGAGAACAGGGCACGTGGCAAATTAGGGGCAGGAAGATGACCAGAAGCCAGGCTTCCTAGCTCCCCCGACATCATGCTGTTCTCTTCATCTTCCCCCACCTCATGATGTCTCCTTTTCACCCACCAGGAGCTGCCCAGGAAGGATGCTTCAGAGCTGTCATCTCACGCTGTGGGATTGGAGACATCTCCTAGCGGGACCAAGTTGGGCCCAGGTGCTGTGGGCACTCTCAAGCGTCCAACCAGCCTGAGCCGCCATGCCAGCGCTGCTGGCTTCCCCCTCTCGGCCCCAGCCACCTGGACGCTGGGCCGTGGTCATAAGAGCCCCATGACCAACAGCCCCGTGGAAGGCAGTGATGGGCCTTTTGTGGAGGTCGAGGACATCTCCCAGCTGCTGGCCCACGTGGCCCGATTTGCCGAGGCCCTGGAGAAGCTCAAAGACACAATCCTGAGAGATGGTGAGCGCCTTTCCCCCTTCAGTGATAGGGTCACTAAGCAACCTTCTCATTCTGTGTTGATGGCCCCAGGGGACATCCCCCCTCACCCCCTCTTGGCCTGGTGTCATGGGCCCCTGAGGATAACACTGGGGAGAATCAGAAGGCCCAGATTTATATTCTAGCTCTGCCGCTTACTGCTTGTGACACCCCGTCACCTAACCTCAGTCACCCCGATGAACACAGAACTCAGAATGTCAAATGTCAGCACCATGAGGGAGAACCTAGAAGCTCCCACAGCTGGAAGGAAATTTTCTTTCCTAATTAATTAATTAATTAATTGCTTTTTCATTTTCAACATGCACTTTTATAAGATGTTGAGTTCTAAAATTTTCCCCCTTTCCTCCCCCTCTCCAAGATGGCATGCAATCTGATATAGGCTATGCATGTACAATCGTATTATAGGAGGAACTTTAGAACATAGATTTTGGCCTCAGTTTCATCCTCTGTCAAATGAAGTGATTGGACTAGGTCAGCTCTAAGGACCCTTCCAGCCTGAAATCTCACAATATAACGATTTGGGATCAATGTGCCATCCTGCAGCATTGCGACGCCGTCCTGTTCCATGGCCTGGCCTTGATGCCAATGCATCTCTTTCCCTAAACCGCCCCCCCCCCGGTCCCCACCTGACCACAGCCCTGGCCTGGCTATGACCAGGCCCTGCCGGGTGTGGGGCTTGGAAGAGGCGTCTGACCCAGCCTGGATTTATCCCTTATTCTAAGGTTGAGGTCAAGGCCGTGCTCCCCATAGATTGGGCACAGTCACAGCATGAGCCGTCAGGCACTTCTCCATCAAGATTAGGCACTGGGGGCATGGGGCTCAAGGAGCAGGCTATGAGTCACGAGTCTGCCACTAATATCCCATGATAACTTCAGCAGCTCTCTGACACCCTCTGGGCTTCGTTTGGCCTCTATAAAAAGAGCTGACTGAGTTAATAGAGCCTTGAAGGCTCCTTCCTGCCTTAGCACTCCATTTTCGAAGGATCCTTCCATGTGATGGGCTATGTTATAAGAGTTCTCCCAGCTAGGACATTCTGGGTCCTAAAGACCCTTCCAGCTCGGATATTTTATGTCAGAAATCCATTTCCCCCCTTCCCCCTCACCGCCCAGCTCTGACATTCCATGGTCTAAAGTCCATCCCAGCTCTAACATTCCATGTTCTAAGATCCATCCCAGCTCTAACATTCCATGTTCTAAGATCCATTCCAGATCTATGTTCTTTGGTCTCTCTAGCTTTAACATTTCATGGTATGACAGTCTCTGTCCCATTCCCAACTTTGCCACCTGTTGGCCTGGGCTAACTGTTGAGGATGGTTTCTATTACATCAGAGCCAGCCCCCAGGTTCTCCTAGGAAGGTCTGTGGCCAGAGGGTGTGAGGAGTTAGTGTGACCTCTCCATTCTGTCACAGTGGAAGGGCCATGTGGGGAAGTGTTGGGTGAGGCTTAGGCTTAAACTCTGGCTCCCCGTCCCTGGGGCCAGGATAAGTGAGCTTCCTGCCCCAGAGTTATTTTCATCTGCCTGTCTTCCTGTTTACCCATCAGGGCCTCTGAGCTGTCGGCGGGTAGGGCTGGGCCAGGGCACCAAGATAAATGCTCCCAAGGCTGCCAGGTCCCTGCCCCAAGTGCTCCAATGACCAAGGATAGAGCTGGGCCTCTGTACACCCAGGGGGGAGGGGAAGAGATGACTAAGGGAGTCCGTGTGGGGGGGACCACAGCTCCACACTGGCCCTTTAAGGGGATGCCTGTCCCAGAAGAGATAAAGGAAGAAGAGAGACATTCTTATCAAAGGTGGATATGACTCGTCTATGAATTGGAACCAAGCCTCTGCCGGTCCTTTGTCTCCTCGCCCCTGGTGAGGCATCTACAGCCCAGACTAAGAGACTGGGAGTCAAGGGCCCTGATTCTAGTCTAAGCTTTGCCACTAGCCCTATGTATGACCTGGAAATGTCAGACTAGAGAATCTCTGACAATCTCTGTTCTAAGGGCCCGACCGGCTCTGACATCCTGTGTTCTAAGGGCCCTCCCAGCTCTGACATCCTGTGCTCTAAGGGCCCTCCCAGCTCTGACATCCTGTGTTCTAAGGGCCCGACCGGCTCTGACATCCTGTGTTCTAAGGGCCCTCCCAGCTCTGACACCCTGTGCTCTAAGGGCCCGACCGGCTCTGACATCCTGTGTTCTAAGGGCCTCTCTGGCTCTGACATTCTCTGTTCTGACTGCCTCTCTCCTAGCTCAGACAATCTGTGTAGCACTGATAGTCTGTGTTCTAAGGTCCTCCCCAGCTCTGACATCCTGTGTTCTAAGGGCCCTCCCAGCTCTGACACCCTGTGCTCTAAGGGCCCTCCCAGCTCTGACGTCCTGTGCTCTAAGGGCCCTCCCAGCTCTGACATCCTGTGCTCTAAGGGCCCTCCCAGCTCTGACATCCTGTGCTCTAAGGGCCCTCCCAGCTCTGACATCCTGTGTTCTAAGGGCCCTCCCAGCTCTGACATCCTGTGCTCTAAGGGCCCTCCCAGCTCTGACATCCTCTATTCTAAAGGCCCTCCCAGCCCTGACATTCCATGTTCCAAGGGCCCTCCTAGTTCTGACATTCCATGTTCCAAAGGCCCTGTATGTTTTAAGGTCCATTTCAGTTCTGACATTCCATGTTCTAAGAGCCCTCTTGGTCTGATGTTTATGGTAGAAAAGATGAAGTCTCTGTTTCAGAGAGATCAGTGTTCCAACTGATTATGATCACAGTGTTTAACATTCTGACTGGAAGAGAGGGAGAAGCTTAAGTGGTCCCCAAACTCCATGGAGTTTGCTAAGAGGAGGGAGTCTGAGCCTCAAATGATTTCCACCACTTTGTGGACCTTCAGATTAGGATAGAAAGGAGCTAGGGAAGAGGTCCTGGGTGCCGTAGGCACGAGCTTTTCCTTGGAGGAGAAGGATCCAGGAACTCGTATCCCAGCCTTGAGTGGGGGGCTTTACCAGAAGAAATCATTTCCTAGGGAAACTCTCCAATCTCCCTTTCCTTTTGCCTCAATGGCCCTTTCTTCTAGAGGTCCCCCTATAAACCCTGGAAGTTGGTTATTGGCCAGGGTGGGGAAGGAGGGAGAGGCCATTTTCAAGGTGGGAAAACTGAGGCCCAGAGTGGGAAAGGGACTTGCCCAAGGTCTCCCACTGAATCAGCGGCAGAACTGGGAACTGAAGCCCCAGCTTACCAGCCCACTTGTTCTTTCCACTGTACGAGTGTCTCCCCTGGGTGTTCCCAGGGGAGGATGTGCAGCCTCTTAATGGAATCTACTGTTATTTCCTGCCTCTGGCTAATAGACTTTCTTCCTGTCCTTCCTCACGTGCATGAGTCCTTTGCCCTCCTCCCTTCCCTAAAAAAAATAAAAAATTTTTAAAAAATTCCTCTTCCTTCTTTAGGTTTCCATGGCCCTGAATTCCCCCTGAGTCATTGTAGAATCACCACAGCAACTCCCACCCCTCCTTAGCCCCGGCTCAGATAACCTTCAGCCTTTATGAAGCTTGGGGGGATTAGGGGGAGGCTGGCACCTTCCCTGGCTCCCTAAGGCAGGTGTGGGCTTGTAGGAAGGACCCTCGAGTCAAGCCCTCCATTTGCAAAAATGGACTGAATAATCTTTTTGGTCCCTCCCAGGGCCTATATTTTGTTATTTAAGGTTCCTTCTAGTCCTGTGCCAATTTTTTTCTTTTGAGGCAATCGAGATTAAGTTACTTGCCCAGGGTAGCACAGCTAGTAAGTGTCAAGTGTCTGAGGCCGTATTTGAACTCAGGTCCTCCTGACTCCAGAGCTGGTGCTCTATCTGCTGTGCTGCCTAGCTGCCCCCATGCCATTTTAATAATAATTTTATCTATAGCTCTTTAAGGTTCGCAGATGACTTCACAGACATTAGTTGACTTGGTCCTCACAATAACCCAATGATAATAATAATAATGATAGCAGCTAGCATTTATTTTAAGGTTTGTAAACTGCTTCATAAATATTATTTAATTTTATCCTGGGAGGTAGTTGCTATTATTATCCCCATTTTACAAAGGAGGAAAGCAGCTGAGAGGAGGTAAGTGATTTGCTACAGCTAGTAATTGCCTGAGGCTGGATTTGAACTCAGGTCTACAGGCCCATTATTCTATCTACTTCTACCATAAAGTCACTTCCATCTCTGACATTTTAGGTTCCAAGGTTCTATTCCTATTATATTCTAGGTTATATATTCTAAAGTCCTTCCCTGCTCAAACTTTCCAAGTTCTGTGTTCTAAGTCCTTTCTGGCTCTGAAATTCTATCTTCTAAAGGCCTTTCCAGTTCTCCAGTCTGATGCTTTATATTTCTTTCTCATTCTAATGTTGTAAGGGGACTTTATATAGTGTTTTGAATCAAGTCTTATCTTGAGCTCCCTAACGTTTCTGCTCTGGAGGGCAGGAATTTTTATCCCCATTTTACATTTGAGGAAAGTGAGGGTCAGAGATATGAAGGCATTTGTCCACAGAGCGAAGAAACAGGAGTCTCCTCTTCCCTGCCTTGCAGGCAGTCTGGTCCAGAGACTTTCCACTGTTCCAGGCCTCTTCTCAGCAGAGCAGCATACTCCCCACTTGCAGCTGGATTTGGGTGTCCTGGGGAAGCCTACAGGACAAGATCAGAGTCTGTGGCCTAGAACAGGTCCTTGTACACAGCAAATATTTGTGGAATTGATTAGAGATAAACAGAGGAATCCCTCCCCAGCTTCATTTCCCTAGAAAAAAATTCCTTACTTGGTGACAATCCCTTTTGGAGATAAACCTTTGGCTCAATTCCTTTGGTCAAGGCAAGACAGATATGCAGTCTGTCCCCAGGTCCGGAAACAAAGCCCTTCTGGCTTAAGAATACTGACCGGAGCCTGGGTTCCTCTGATAGCCTTGGGGATCTCAGTGCTCTCAGAAAAAGGGAGGAGGCATCGGAAGTAAAGGGAGGATTTTCATGATCACAGATAAGCCACGTGCCTTCAACCTCTGCAAACAAAAACCACCACAACACCAAAAATTCACCAGCAACAGACAAAACTTAAACACCTCCCCTGCACTAACTTCAGCTTTCTTCTGGCTAGCAAGCTTACCTACTTTTCCAAAGGTTTGTCAGCATGGTGATGCATTAATCATTCAAGTGAGATCAATTCCATTCAACAAGTTTTGACTTGGTGGCCCAGAGCTGGGCCTGGAGTCAGGAAGATCTGAGTTCAGATCTAGCCTCAGACACTCATTAGTTGGGTGATGCTTCCGTTTACCCGTCTGTAAAAAATGGAGGTGCTATTATTACTTCCCTCTCAGGACTGTTGTGAGGATCAAAAGAGAATAATCGTGAAGTGCTTAGCCCACAGTAAATGCTATATAAACGTTAGTTATTGTTAATAATAATATTATTACTGTGTGTGAGGAGGCCCTGGGTTAGGGACTGAGGATAAACACATTCAGATTTTACTCTCAAGGATTTGTCCCAGGTAATGGGAAGAAAGACAAGCCCTCAAATCTGTGTGAGGCAAGAGTAAAGAATTTGGGTGGAGGGGTACCGTCTCAGACTAGGCTCCCAGGACTTTGTTCTATTTGTGCGACCTGAGGCTTCGTTTCCTTATCTACAAATGGAAGGAGGAGGGTCAGACTAGACCATCTTTAAAGCCTCTTCCAGCTCTAAATTTCATTGACCTCACACACCACCCCCCAGGAAGGAAGACAGTACCTGGGGCAAAGGGGAGGGGAAGAGGAGCAGACTTTAAAAGGGGGAGGTGGTGGTCCATGGGTAGAGTTGGAGGGGGGGATGGGGAAATCAGAGCCTTGGAGCCGAAGGGACCTGAAAGACTATCTTGCTCCACCTCTGTGATCCTTACAATCCCGTGTGATTTTGGGCCAGTCACTTAATTTTCCTTCCTTTCAGAGTCCTCAAATGTAATAAAGGAGTTGGGCTAGACTGGCCTCTGTGGGACCCTGGACAAGTTACTGAATTCTGTCAATCTCAGTTTCCTCATCTGTAAAATGGGGATGATTATTGCAGCTCGGTCCCAGGGTTGTTGTGAGGATAAAATGACATAGTATTTGCAAAGTGCTGTAAAAATATTGTAGCTATTATGAAGGTGGGGAGGATGATTGTGCCAACTCTGAAGCTGTGGTACTAGATGCAAATGAGGAAACTGAGGTCCAGAAAAGTTAAATGATCTAAGGTCACGCTGATGCAAAGTGACTCCCAACCCTGGCGCTCTTTGGCACTTAAGGCTGCCACCAAAGGGATTCCATTCCAGTCTTAGGGGAAGTTAGAATAGCTGAGTGACCCCGGGCAAGTCACTTCCCCTCAAAGAACCTTAGTTTCTTCATCTGTAAAATGAGGGGCCGGACCAGGCCACCCTCAGTTCTCTCCCAGCTCAGACGGACGCAGGAGCCAGCGACTACATCTGTTTCCCCTCCCCCACCAGCCAGGGGCTTCTCCCCCCGCCCCCAGCCCAGGGTTCGCAGCCTTTGGAATTCGGGCGATGGGGGGGGGGAAGCGAGAGGACGAGTCCATTGGGGTCGAGGAGGGGGGCGTAAGTCCACTTGGTCCTCTTTGCTGGGGGTGGGACCCCGAGACCCGCGGATCAGGGCGGAGGTGGGAGTTCTGCTGATGCGCCAGGAGAGCCACCGTGCACCCCCGCCCCCCGAGCCTCCCCTGCCCCCCTCCCGTGCATCCCCGTGCGCCCCCGGCCCCCCAGACCTGGGTCACCTGTGGGGAGGGGCGGGGGTGTGGCCGTTCGCTGCCCCGCCCCCGCCTCATGTGAGCTGGTTGGGCGTCCTGGACCGCACTAGTTCCAGGTCTGCTCGCGCTCTCTCCCCGCTTTCTCCCCTCGAGGGCGAGGGACCCTCGGCCGGCTGTGGCCATGTGCGTGTGCGGCCGCCTGCATCCCCAGCTGGAAGGGGGCCGGCTCGCCTGCCTCGTGGGTCCGCCAGGTGAGAGGGCCGGGGGCTGGGGGGCGGGGGGCGGGGGACGAGGGGCTACTGCCCTCCCCGCGCGCCGGCGCCCTTCCGGTCCTCTCCTGGGCCAGGTGGCCCCGCCCCCCCACCTGGCCGGGTGGACGACCTGGGGCCCGGGCCAGGTGTGCGGGGGTGCCCGCCCCCGAGGAGGGGGCCCGGGGCTCGGAACCCCAAAAGTCCCTTGCTTACCGGCAGGAACCTTAGAACAGAGAACTCAGGATGCCAGAGCTGAAAGGCACTTTAGAACCGACAAGTGAGGCTTTTGTAGGATGGACAATCCTTAGAATATAGAATCTTAGGCCTGAGAACGTAGGATGGCAGAACTGGGAGGGACCTAGAGCATTTTTAAAATTCTGAACACGCCCCCACCCAAAAAAGAGGAGCATTTCCATTTACACAGCACAACGCCCAAAAAAGAGGATTGTATATGAAATCTTGAGTCTCCATTCGATACTGCTTGCCTTTTAAAAAAATTCCATGCGTTACTTTCAAAACTATTTTGCTTGTCTGAACTTCCTTCTGAACTTCTCTTTCACACATTAAAAAAAAACTGTTTCAGTGCACCTCCCCTTTTTTTGGAATCACTGTTTCTCATCCCTTCTCTCCCCCTTCTTCCCCCCCCATTAGAAAATAAAAATAAAAACCAAAAAAAGTGGGGGAAAACTCTTTCAACAAATAGCTAGTCAAGTCAAATCCACACAGTGGACCTGCCCAGAAACGTATGACTTTCTGCACCTCGAGTCCAACATCTCTTTGTTAGGAGGAGGGTAATTATGTTCCTTTTTAATCCTGCCAGAGAAAAGTTCTTAAGGCTTCCAAAGTTGTTTTTCTTTACAGTGCTGTTATCCTTGTGTAAACCATTCCCCTATTACTGCTCACTTCACTGATTGATATCACTCAGGCTTCTCAGACAATTTCATGTCTCTTTTCGCATGCCTTACAACACAATTATATTCCATTATGTCCATAGACCCCAGTTTTTTTCAGCCTTTCCTGTGTAGCACTTAGAAAGGAGAGCTTTAAACCTTAGAATTTGGGATCATTGCTAGAAAGGACATAGGGTCATAAGATGGAGGGATCCGATTTAGAATTGGAAGAAAACTTAAAAATTTAGACCTGGTGATCAAATCCAACCCCTTCATTTTACCGATGAGAAAACTGAGGCACCCTGAGGTTAATGGACTTGCCCATTGTCACACACCTAGTACATGCTTTGAGGTGGGATTTAAAACTAGGTCTTTTAAATTCCCAAGTCCTGGCCACTTGACTATGCTGATCTTAGAGCATAGAATGTCAGTTGGGACTTTAAAACATAAGATGTCAGCTTGGAGGGCCCATGAAACAATATTGGAGCTGGAAGGATCTTAGAACTTAGAACACTTAATGTCAGAGGTGGGACCTTAGAACATTGAATATCAGAGTTGGAGGGACTTTAAAATGTAAAATGTCTATATCAGATTGCTTGCCTCTTGGGGAAGGGATAGGGAGGGGAAGGAGGGGGAAAAATTTGGAATTCAAAATCTTACGAAAAATGAATGTTGAAAACTATCATTACATGTAATTGAAAAAATAAAATTCTATTTGGAAAAAAAACCATAAGGTATTAGCTTGAAGGACCTATAAAACAATATTGTCGCTAGAGAGGCCTTAGAACATAGGACAATTAATGTTAGAGGTGGGAGGAATCTTAGAACATAGGATGACAGAGTTGGGAAGAACTTGGAACCATAAAAGGTCAGAGCTTGAGGGAACATAGGATGTCAGAGCTGACGAGATTCTTAGAACATTGAATAATAGAGGTGAAAGGGACATTAGAAAATATAGTATGTCCAGTTAGAAGGTCTTGCACTTGGTCTCAAAGGGCAAACTTGGATAGGAGCAGCAGCTGGAACATAGGTAATAGTCACTGACAGGGAGATTTAGGGTCTATTCCAGGAAAAACTTGCCAAAAGTCAGAGCTAATCCGGATCAGAATTGGCTGTCCTCAGAAGGCGCCATTCCCCCTCCCTGGACGTCTTCCAGTCAAGGAGGGATGAGCATTTGTTGGAGAAATCGTAGAAGGGATTTCTGCTCAGGTTGGGGTAGGTTAGTTTCTGAGACTTTCTTCTCACTGTGGTTCTGTGATCTAAGGGATTGCTGCAGAGACATACCTAGATTTCATCAAGCCATCTGACAGTCTTTCACTTTATCTTTGTGGACGAGTTGGAGAGATGTGGGCTGAATGATAGTATAATTAGGTGGATTTGGAACTGGTCATATGAAGACTATTCCTTAATGGGTTGATGTCACTTTGTAGGGAAAATTCTGGTGGAGTACCCCAGAGGTCTTGAGCCCTTTTCTACTGAACATCGTTATTGATGACTTGAATGAAGCCGTAGATAGCCTGCTTATTTAATTTATAGATGACACAGAGTTTGGAGGGATAGGTAATGCAACTCAGATCCAAAAAGGATTGGTGAGCTGAACCTTGTAAGTTTAATATGGATAAATGTATAGCCCTCCATTTTGGATATGGGTTCAAAAACTCAATGGCACAAGTAAAAGATGGGGGAAAAGCTTAAAAAACACATCTGAAGCTAGGTGGCGCAGCGGATAGAGCACTGGCCCTGGATTCAGGAGGACCTGAGTTCAAAGGCGGCCTCAGACACATATTACTTACTAGCTGTGTGACCCTGGGCAAGTCACTTAGCCCCATTGCCTAGCCAGAGAAAAAAGAAAAAAAATGCATCTGAAGGTCAACATGAGTCAACAGTGTGACTCCTTGTTAGTGTCCAAAAAGGCTAATTCAGTCTTAGGCTACATGAAAAAAATCTGATCTAGAGACAGATGGTGAGTAATCCCGACATCCCCTGCCCTAGTCAGATCACGTCGAGAGTGTTTGCGGCTTGTTCTGGGCAGCACATTTTTTAGAATGACTTCCAGTGGTGACCAGGTTGATGGGGGTACTTAAACTGTCTTCCAGATGATGTTGGAAAAGCTCTGACAAAGACACCCTTCGAGGAAGAGAATTCAAATACAGGGTGTCCCAAAAATCTTAGTGTAGTGTAAAGTTTATTAAGACTTTTGGAACACCCGTATTTGAAGGGTTGTCCAATGGGAGAGGAATTAGATTTGCTCTGTTTGACCCCAGAAGGCAGAAGAGTTGGGGTGGGGCTGGGGTGAGGGGGAGGGTTTGGGAGGGGGCAGAGTTGCGTAGAGGAAAATTTTTGGCTTAAATAAAGGGACATTTGTTTTAAGAATTAGAGCTGTCCAAAAGGTGAATGTGTTTCCTTAGAAGGTAATGAGTTCCCAGTCCCTGGAATTCTTCAAGGGGAGGTTAAATGACCGCTTGTTGGGGGTATCATTACTGTTTAGATAAGGGCTGTATTCTTTCAGAAATTCTTAACCTTTTTTGTGACCTAGACCTCTTTGACAGTGAGTCTGTTAAAGCCCGTGGACCCCTTCTCAGAATCATGTTGTTAAATGCAAAAAATCAAATATGTAGGATTACAAAGGAGACCAATTATAATTATTGAAATAGAATTATCACAGTGTTTTTTATAAGTTCATGGGCTCCAGGTAAAGAATGCCTGGGCTAGATGACCCCTGAGGTCCCTTACGGCTCTGAGATTCTGTGATTCTTTGACTTTGGAACAGGTTTCCCAGCTGGGGGTTGGTGGGGTGGGGACAGGGGCGTGGCTCAGACCATACACAGATGTTTGAGTGGAAAACACTGTCGGGATCCTTGATCCTACCTGGCTCATTTTGCAGGGAAGGGAACGGATGCTCACAGACGGGGACAGACTTGCTGTGGATCACACAAGGAGTTTTTGGTAGATTGGGAGCCAGAACTAGTAACACAAGAGGCAGTGTTGCAAGATGCAAGAGGGCTAGACACCCAGTCAGAAGACCTGGGTTCAAATCCTGTCTTAGTCAGTTACTAGCTTTGTGCCTAAATCCTTTCACTCCGTGGGGCTTCAGTTTCATTATCTTTCAGGTAGGGAGTAAATAATATGAGGGTTGTTGTGAAGGGAGTGCTTTGCAACCCTTACTTCAAGTTGCTATAAAAATGCCAGTTGTTATTAGAACCTGGGCCTTCTGAGTCCTAGGCCAGGAGGGCTCTTTCTGTCATTCTTGGCTGCTTTGATTGGCTAGATGGAACGAATGTAGGGGCCTCCAGCTTCTTTCCTTCTCGTACCGTCTTGGTTCTGTACTTTTCCACTCCATCAGACCAGAGGAGGACGGGGAAGGGCTTTGCTTGCCCACAGAGGAAGGTCTCCAGAGACATGACACGACCCATACAGAGCCTTTATATCCAGATGTCTCTCTCCATTCCCTCTCCTTCCCCTTTGGAACGTGCTGGAAAGAGGATTGGACTGGAAGTCAGCGGAGACCTGGGCTCTAGTCCTGCTTCTAACGCTGGCGAGGCATGTGATCAGAGGCACACTCTGAGCCTCAGCTCCTCATTTGGAAACTAGGGATAATAGTAATATCTGTAGAACCTACCACTTAGGGGATGTTGTGAAGGTCCAGTTTTCTTTCCATCCATCTATATCTATCTATCTATCTATCTATCTATCTATCTATCTATCTATCTATCTGTCTATCTGTCTGTCTGTCTGTCTGTCTGTCTGTCTGTCTATCAGCTAGGTGGCACAGTGAATAGAGTGCCGGGTCTGGAATCAGGAAGGTTCATCTTCCTGAGTTCAAATCCGGCCTCAGACGCTTAGCTACCCTGGGCTGTGTGAACCTGGACGAGTCACTTCACCCTATTTGCCTTAGTTTCCTCATCTGTCAAATGAGCTGGAGAAGGAAATGGGAAACCATTCCAATATCTCTGCCAAGAAAACCCCAAATAGCATCACAAAGTCAGACATGACTAAAAATGACTGAAATATACATGTGTATATATGTATATATGTACATGTATTCGTGGGTATATGTTATCGACCTCACCTGGCCTGGGCTCTAACCGTGGGGTGACCTTGCATCTGTACTAGACATGAGTGTTAGCATTGCCCATAATGTGGGTGCTTCTGCCCTATACTCCACCAGACCTCCACCTCTTCTGGGTGGCCCCCTGTATCACTGATGTTTCTGGATGATTTCAGAGCAACTGGATGCTCGGCGACCACTGGCCCATGAGTGCCTTGGTGAAGTCCTGAGGGTCCTCCGACAGGTCATTAGCAAGTACCCCCTGCTCAACACTCTAGAGACCCTCACAGCTGCTGGGACCCTCATCTCTAAGGTCAAAGGTGAGCTGGGAGGTGAAGGGGGGTTGTTGGGGAAGAGCTTTTCTGGGTGACTTTTTAGGCCCTAGGGCTGGCATCTGCCCACCTGAGCCAGGCTTCACTTTCTGAGGGTGGGCTTAAAGTAGGAAGAGGATAATTTGGGACTGGGTGACTTAAGGCCCAGAGCCTGTTTCTCTGGCAGTGCCATAGACCCTGGGTGACAACAGCTGACATTTATTAAACACCTACTTTCTGCATATCGCGTTCAGCATTGGGAGAGATGAAGAATCTGGATCCCGACCCCTGCCCTCATGGAGTTTAGGGTTGAGTAGGGCAATAAGGTGCCAATACAGACAGCTGTCATACAGAGTATTATGCTGTGAGTGCATTGGGGACATTGGCACTCTATGTGAGCCCCAAGGAAGAAGGGTTCTTGAGCAGAGGAAGCTTTTGAAGACAGATTGGAATTCGGCAGGGACATCAGGAAAGAGGACGGGCATTCTGTGAATATGTACGTAGAGGAGTCAAGGTGTGGAGGCCGGAGGGTGTGGAGGGCTGAATATGCAGAGACACAGGTTAGCCGTAATGATCAGTGGTTGGAGAGGAGGAGTAAGAGATGGACTTGGAGAAGTAGGAAGGTGCCAGGCTGAGAAAGGCCTTGAATAACCAGCAAAAGAGTCTGAACTTTAACCAAGAGGCAACAGGAAAGGACTGAATCCTTCTGAGCAGGGGAGCGACGGCGCTCCTTATAGCTGGGAAGACCCATTGGGAGGCAATTACTTCAGGTGGGTGGTGCTGGGGCTTAGGCTGGTGGCAGTGAGGGGATCCAGAAGGATGGGTTGGTGCTCGGCCGTGTCACAATTAGAGAAGCATCCTAACACAGACCCTTGAATTGGTCAGTAAGCGGCCGTGGAGGGAGCAGCTTCCACGCAGTGCTAGGATGTGCTAAGAGTCGAGAGCGCTGTGAGGAGCTGCAGGTGTCACGGTAACTTTGGGAAAGTCTCACCAGGGCAATGTTGGGGAAGGGACTGGTCCAAAAAGATGTAAGAAGGCCGCTTAAGGGCTGGCTGGGAGACCCCCTCCTGTTTGTGGGCAGGTGGGAATGAGGCAGCAGACAGACAGAAAGCTGAGGGCCGTGATTGGGAGTGACCGTTACAGGAGCCCAAGGTGGAGGTCGAGGGGGTGGGGTCAGAGGTGGAAGTGTCAGGCCCTGGTTAACTGCATTGAGAAAAGGGGGCGAGTGTGGGAGCTCTGGGATGCTGGTCGAGGGCTCAGGGTCGAGGCTCTCTCCTGATGCTGATGATTGGGTTTGGGAAGAGCCTCTAAGAGTTCTGGAGATTGTTAGCTTTGTGGAAGTCCAGGAGAGAGCCTTTCCCCTCAGTCCCTGCCCCGGGGCAACTGCCATTGCAGGACCAACGTCCTGGATGTGTGTCTGTAACTGTGCCTGTAGGAAGAGCCTCGTTGTAGGGGGAACCAGACCATGTGGAGAGCTGTTCATCTTTGGTGGTGAGGGGTGGAATGCTGGCTTCTCTGGATGTCTCTGTGGTTTCTGTCAGGGCAGCTAGGTGGCGCCATAGTGCACAGAGTGCTGGGCCTAGAGTCTGGAAGACTCGGCTTCCTGAATTCAAATCTGGCCTCAGACACTTACTAGCTGTGTGACCCTGGGCAAGTCACTTCACTCTGTTTGCCTCAGTTTCCTCATCTGTAAAATGAGCTGGAGAAGGAAATGGCAAACTGCTCCAGTATCTTTTCCAAGAAAACCCCAGATGGGGTCATGGAGGGTCGAACTAGATTGAAACAACTGGACAACCACAGAATGGGTTCTGGGGTTTGGTCAGGGAGGCAGGAGGGAAGAAGAGCTCTGAGGAGGAGGATGCTGGTCGGATCCCTGCTCTGGGGCTCTCAGTCATCCTCAGGTCATGTGGAGGGTTGAATAGCGGGATCCCATGGTAACCTGCCGTGGTCAGGGTTGGGGTGGCTGGGGAGAGTCCCAGCTCTCCAGGAACATGCTTCCGCCAGTCTTAGGGGGCCGGGGGCTTTCCTGGGCTGCCTCCTTGTCTGTCAGACGGGGCTGCCTACAGCCCTGGATGTCTTAGGACAGCGGCTTTAAACTGTAACTTTGAGGGGCTCCCGGGAGAAAGTGCTAATTCCTTCCCCACCCCCACCCCTTAGGGTTCCATTATGAGTCAAACAATGAGTCTGATAAGCGGGAGTTGGAGAAGGCTCTGGAGACAATCGCTGTATCCTTCAGCAGCACGTGAGTGACTGTGGCCCTCTGGGTGAAGGAAGAAGGGTCTGGGGAACTCTCCTCTCTCCCTCTCTTGGTCTCCAGACTCTGGCTTGGTGGTCAGGAGGCCCCACTTCTGTCACTGATGCCTCGCTCTGACCGTGGGTCACCCGGAAAGACTACAGGCTTTGTGAGTCCTGGCTCTGCCCCTCACTGGGTGACAGGAAGCAAATCACTTTATTCTTGGGGCCTCAGTTTCCCTTTTTGTAAAGTGAAGGGGGTGGGGTTGACCAGTGAGGTCCCTTCCAGCTAAACATCTCAGACCCCATGGTCGGTCCCTTCTTTCCTCTGGGCTTTCTGTTTCCTCATCTGTAAAATGGGGGTGATAAAGCCCATCTTACGTGTTACTGGGCTCAAACAAGGTTGTGGACCTCAAAGCGCTGTGTAATTTTATGAGATTGTTGCTGGCCCCCGGAAGGTTGTACCACCTTCCTCAGTCCTGTCGGCCCCCTTACCAGGCTCTCTGCCCTCTCTCCCTGCCCAGTGTGTCTGAGTTCCTCATGGGTGAGATGGACATCAGTACCCTCCTTTCTATGCCTCCCAGTGACCAGAACCAGGTAAGGGAGCCCAGCCCTTGACTTTCTTGTCAGAGGGTTCTAGATCTTGGGGGACGTTGGATCATAGATATGGTAAAAAAAGAATCTTGGCCTGGGGGTCCAGAAACCTCAATAACTAGGCCAGCCCCTGGCATCGGATCACCCACTATGTGACCTTAAGCAAACCTCTCCCCCTCCACTCTCTGGGCCTCAGTTTCCTATTCTGTCAGTTGGGTTAAGATCTGCCAGGCACTGCTTCATAAAAGTGGTAGGAAAATCCCAGGAGACCTGACTTCCTTCTTTATAACTAGGCGGGACTGTAGTACTTTGAATACTGGCTCTAGAAGACAATGTAGATCAGATCATGTCACCTTTAGCACAGAGGCAGCCTGGTAGAGTGCAAAGAAAAATGGGCTTGGAGTCAAGAGAGCCCTGGGTTCAAATCCTGCTGTTGCCTCTCACTAGGATTGTGACCCAAGATGCGTCATTTCACCTTGAGCCTTATTCCTCATCTGTAAAATGGGGGTAACAATACCTGTCTCCCAGGAAGGTGATGCAGAGGTTAAGCATTAAGGATGTGTGAGCAGCCATTATGAATAATGGTGCCTGAGTTGGGGGGGCCCCTTGGAACCCCATGTCGCAGAGCTGGAAGATACCTGAGAATGCAGAATGTCAAAGCTAAGACCTTTAGAACGGAGAATGCCAGAGCTGGGAGGAGCGTTGGAACATAAACTGTTAAGAGTTGGGAGGGACCTTAGAACATGAATGTCAGCACTGTAAAGGGAACCTTAGAACACAGAATGCCAGAGCTGAGAAAATAAGAGAGAAGTGACTTACCCAAGGTCACGTGTCTTGAACCCAGGGCTAGTCAGCCTTCCAGGGCCAGTCAGCCTTCCAGGCCCAGGCTCTTCCTTTAAACCTCGTTGTCTCCTGCAGGTGTTGTACAGACCACAGACACGTACTTGAAAGTGCTGGACAGGGAGGGTTCCTGGTTCCTGGTGGCCTTCCAGGGTGGGTGAGGTAGGCTTACTTTGCATTGCCTCATGGGGCTATCTAACCTGTTCTCTCTTTCTCTCCTAAGTCCATGGAAAACCTTTATGGGGGCCTCTCAGGGCAGTGTACGGATAGCATGTCCCCTGGCACAGAGCCTTATGGTAAGCTGGCCTGCTCCCTCTGGGCTATCTGGGCTGATCTGTCCTGGGCGGCCAGCCTGCCCCCGAGGGGAGCTGGGCAGGGAAGGCCGGTACCTTTGGGGAGCTGGGGGGGAGATGTCTGTTGGGTAGGCGTGGTCTTTGGTGGAGCCTTCACTCTTGAAGCCTCCAGCTGGAGTAACACAGGGCTCAGCACTGAGGGAAGGGCGGTCTCTCCTTGGGGGCTGCCAGCATCTTGTGCGGGCAGAGCCCCAGACTTGGCGCTCGTGGGGCTCTAGCTAGAAGAAAATGCCCAGCTCTCAGCGTCAGGAGATACGTGGTCTGAGGAACCAACACCAGCCCCTGCCCTCAGGGACAGGTCATCGGAGCTTGGGTCGTTCTGGGTTGGGAAGTGTGGCCTTTGAAGGCAGGGCAGGTGCACTGCTTGATGAAAGGCACAGCCCTTTCCAGGGTTCTCTCTCTATCACCTCACAAAATGTCTCTGAGGACAGTTTGGGAGCTGGGAGGCTTCCTCAAAACCTGGTCTCCCGGGTGTAGGCTCCCTGTTGGCGGACGACGTGGACGTGGTGCTGCAGCGCTGTGAGGGGGGTGTGGATGTGGCCTTGCAGTATGCCAAGAACATTGCCAAGTATATGAAAGATCTCATCAATTACCTGGAGAAGCGGACAACACTCGGTGAGACCCAGTGACAGCTGGATTCCTGTGTGCATGGGCTCTCCCCAGGAGGAGATAAGAGAAGGAGAAGCAGTGAATGAGACAAGAGTGACAGGCTCACGGAAATGTGAGAGCTAGGAAGAACCCAAGGTCAGAGCTGGGAGGGCCCCTGGAACCCAGGATGTCAGAGCTGGGAGGGCCTCTGGAACCCAGGATGTCAGAGCTGGGAGGGCCCCTAGAACCCAGGATGTCAGAGCTGAACAAAGATTGTCAGAGCTGGGAGGGCCTCTAGAACAAAGGATGTCAGAGCTGGGAGGGTCCCTAGAACCCAGGATGTCAGAGCTAGGAGGGCCCCTAGAAGAAAGGATGTCAGAGCTGGGAGGGCCCCTGGAACCCAGGATGTCAGAGCTGGGAGGGCCCCTGGAACCCAGGATGTCAGAGCTGGGAGGGCCCCTGGAACCCAGGATGTCAGAGCTGGGAGGGCCCCTAGAACCCAAGATATCAGAGCTGGGAGGGCCCCTAGAACCCAGGATGTCAGAGCTGAACAAAGATTGTCAGAGCTGGGAGGGCCTCTAGAACAAAGGATGTCAGAGCTAGGAGGGCCCCTAGAAGAAAGGATGTCAGAGCTGGGAGGGCCCCTAGAACAAAGGATGTCAGAGCTGGGAGGGTCCCTAGAACCCAGGATGTCAGAGCTAGGAGGGCCCCTAGAAGAAAGGATGTCAGAGCTGGGAGGGCCCACTAGAGCACAGGATGTCAGGACCAAGAGGGGCTTTAGAGATTGCATAGTCCATTTCCCTCATTTTACAGTTGAAGAAACTGAGTAGTGCCATAGAGGTTGTGACTTGGCCAAGGTTCCGGAGTGTGTTACTGGCAGGGACCTCAGTCCAGGCTTCTACATTATACCACACCCAGAAATTAGAGCGTAATGTAAGATGGCATCTTATTAGAGGGGTCAGACTCTAAGATGCCTAAGAAAAGGAAGAGCTTATTGGTGGTTATGGAAGTCGCCTTAGAGGAGGGAGGTCAGGCAGGCCCATGGAATGGCGGGAGGACAGAGGTCCTTCATTTGGGGTAGGAACTCAGGATGCTGAAGTGACTGATGTGCATATTTGAGAAGGACGCCGCTCTTTCCCTCGGTCGTTTGAGAGTGGCCTAGTGGACGGGGCACTAGATTTGGAGTTAGAATCCTCTGCTGCTCTGACTGCCTCTGTGACCTTGGGCCAGTTCACCTAAACTCTCCTGCCTCAGTTTCCTCCTGAAAAGTGAGGGGCTTTGACCAGGTGATCTTTAGAATTCCTTCCAGCTCTGAATCCTAAGTCCCATGGACTGATGTCTAAGAGCTCTTTCTGAGTGACTGCAAGTGAGATCCAGAGCATGAGGATTCCCAGGCCCGTGGGATGGGCTGTGCTGTTCTCAGCTCCTGTGGGCTAGCTTCAGGTGCTGAGTAGTAACAGGTCCCCCTTCCTTCTCTCCCCTTGCCAGAGATGGAGTTTGCCAAAGGTCTGCAGAAGATCGCCAACAGCTGCAAACAGACGATGACCCAGGAGGTGGGCAGATGCTTCCCATGACCCCCAGAGCAAAGGGTGGGGGTGGGGCCTTTGCTAGGGAGCTGAGGGCTGGAGGCGGGGCGGGGGGGACCGGGCTGGCTCTATGGGTGCAGTGGGCTGGATGAGAAGGGGGCCTCCTGGGTTTGACCGGATCCTTTCTCTCTGCAGCCCCACATGCCTTTCCAGTCCATCTATTCCCTGGCCCTAGAACAGGACATGGAGTTTAGCCATGGGATGCTGCAGGTGGTGGCTACCCTGCAGAACCAGACCTTAATGCAGGTGGGAGCCTCCCCAGCCCCTCCTCCATCCCTCTTCTTCTCCCCAGCCCCCTCTCCTGAAGCCTTGGACAGAGGAGTCAATGACTTTAACTTTTGAACTGAACCCTGGGATTTCTGCCCAGCATGAGAGTGGGCCTAGGAGGGGGACAGTTATCTTCAGTGTCATAGATGTCACCTCTTTGGAGGCCTCCTGTGGCTCTCCTCTTTGGGGACAGATGATGGCAGGGTTGAGTTGTGGAGAGGTGGGGGCCAGGCTTAGTTGAGGCCTTAGCACATGGTGGCTGGCTGTGGGGTCACAGCAGAGAGGCGTCTCCCTGATGCTAGGGCCAGCCCAGAGTCCCCCACCCTCTACACGTGTATCTGCTTCCTCCCTAGCCCTTGACTCTGCGGCGTCTAGAGCACGAGAAGAAGAGGAAGGAGATTAAGGACCAGTGGCACCGGGCACAGAGGAAGCTGGTAGGGGAGCACCTCTGTGCCACATCCTGGCGGGTGGGGAGGGTCTAGGGGCCGCAGATCAGAGGAGGCTGGGACTTCCAGGGGCTCAGTTGAACCTGTCCTTTTACAGAGGATTGTGAGGTTCACAGAGGGGGAGGGATTCATTCAGAGCCACTCACCGAATCAGCGGCAGAGTCAGGAGCGTGGCCCAGGGCTCCCGCTGCTGGTGCAGGGTGCTTCCATCACCCCACACAGCCTGGTGAAGCCAGCTTTGTGTCAGGACGTGGTCTGGAGATGTTCCCGCCGAGGCTAGGAGCTCAGCCGAGGGTGGCCCCTGCTAGCTCCAAGGCTTCTTCCTCTTCTGAGATTTTAGGAGTCTTGAATTTTACGGTGCCCACTTTTTGCTCAGGCCCAGGCAGCCTCGTGTCTCCTGTGCCTCTGGTGGGTGGTAGAGGGAGGCTGGCAGAGAGGGGTCCTCTCACTCCTGCCCTGGAGTCTGGCCTGGGCCTCACCTCCCCTTCAGCTCTCTCCCCTCCCGCCATAGCAAGAAGCAGAGAGCAACCTTCGAAAGGCAAAGCAGAGCTACATGCAGCGATGTGAAGACTACGAGAAGGCCCAGTACCTGACCGTAAAGGCCGAGGAGGAGCAGGCCGGGGCCGGTGGGGCCAGTGCAGGTGCTGGGGCCAGCAGTGCTGCCACAAAGGCCCTGGACAAAAAGAGGCGGCTGGAGGAAGAGGCCAAGAACAAGGTGAGGAGAGGAGGCGCTGGCTGGGCTGGCTGGCTGGGGCCAGGAAAGTAGAGGAGCAAGAACGGGGGAAGGGAAGCAGGCCTGCTCACACTGCCTCTCCCTCCTCCCCTTCCCCTTCAGGCCACCAGAGAGCTGGAGGGGCTAGGAGGGTTGAGCCGAAGAGAAGATTTGGGGGGAAGTGGGGGTGGGGAGGGAACATGGATCCCGAGATGTGGAGCTGGGAGGGGTCAGAGCATTGTACAGACAAGGAAGCTGACACCACAGGGCGAAACTGGGAACAGTGGGTGGAAAGACCAGACCTCAGCAGTCTGTCAACAAGCGTTGCTCGAGTAGCTGCTGTGTTCCAGGCCTTGTACTAGTTGCTTGTCAGTAAGACCTCAGTGCAGAGTCCTGCCTCAGGAGCTTGTGTGGCTCTGGGTTTTCCCTTCGTGATAATAACACACATTTTGTAGCGTTGGGCTGGGTTGTTAAAGGGATGGACTAGATCCCCGTCCATGTGGTTTCCCAGCACGGGCTTGAGCCCCACCAACCATGCTTCTGTCTCTGAGAGGCACTATGGCATAGTGGATAGCAGAAGTCAGGAGGACCTCGGTTTGAATCTCGTCTCAGACACTAGCTGTGTGACCCGGGCAAATCACTTGGCCTCTCTGGGCCTCAGTTTCCTCCCCTGTAAAAGGAGGGCGTTGATATCCAAAGTTCCTTCCAACTCTAAATCCGTTTCTCCCTGGGAAGAGTTGTGTATGGGTATGCCTAGTGAGTAGACCCTGAAGGGGCTTCTCTGAGGACCCCAGTTGTCCTGGGGCAGGCAGCATCTGGGCTCCCTGTGGGATTTGTGGGGTCCCCGATGAGCAGCAGTTCACGCATCTCTCTGCCCCAGGCAGAAGAGGCCATGGCCACGTACCGCACCTGCATCGCCGATGCCAAGACGCAGAAGCAGGAGCTGGAGGACATGAAGGTGAACGCTTTGCGCCAGGTCCAGGAGGTCATAAAGCAGAGCGACCAGATTATCAAGTCGGTGAGTCCCTGCAGGCGCCGGCCGGGCCCTAGGGAGGCGGAGAGAAGAAGCTAGCCCCTCTCGGGGTGGCGGCTGTGGTGGGACAGCAGCCGAGAGTGACTCTGGGTCCCGTGTGTTGGGGACAAAGGAAGGAGCGGGGACCGGGCCCTGGGGATGCAGAGAGAAGAAGCCAGTCCCTCCCAGGGTGGGGGCTGCAGTGGGATGGTGGCTGAGAGTGACTCGGGGTCTCCTGTGGTGGAGACAAAGGAAGAGGGGGGCCAGGCCTGGGGAGGCAGAGAGAAGCCAGCTCCTCCCGGGGTGGGGGTTGCAGTGGGTTGGTAGCTGAGAATGACTTGGGGTCCTGTGTGATGGGGACGAGGGGGTTGGGCCGGGCTGGGCAGGGGCCTGGTCTGGAGGGAAGCTGAGGGTGCAGAGTCAGACCGGCGCAGCGGAGAAGGAAGAGGATGCTGAGCACAGGGGTGGGAGGCTCCTTGTGCAGAAGCTGTCAGACAGAGGCATGTTGAACTCAGTGGGTAGCTGAGAGTTCAGTCTGGCCAGAACATCGAATGTGGAGGACAGTGGTGTAAAATACAGCTAAAAAGGCCATTGGGAGGAGATGGAGAAGGGCTTCACATGCCAAGGAGAGAAGTTTTCATTTTGTTTCAGCAGTGGTAGGGAGTCTTGAGCAGGGGAGTGACTGATCTGATGGCTCGCTTTGGGTCAGTTCCATCAGCAACTGGGTGGCGGATGGGTGGAGATTAGGAGGCTGTTGTGATAGGCCAGGTGAACCAGGCCAGGGCCACAGCTGGGGTAGAAGTGGCCTGACTTGGCTGTAGATTAGGCGTGTGTGTGTGTCTGTGTCTGTGTGCCTGTGTGCTGGTAGATTTAGGAGGGTCCTGGGGAGTTCAGCTTTGACCGTAGTGAGTTTGAGGGGCTGGTAAAAGATCCCTGGGGGCTGCTTAGCAGGCAGCTGGAGATGTAGGATTGGGGTTCAGGGAAGAGATTAGGGTTGAATCAAGAAATTTAGACTCCTTTACATTATTTGTGATGATTCAACCTTTGAGAAAGTATAAAGAGGGAAAAGAAGAGGGCTGAGGACACAGGCTTGGGTTGCACAAAGGCCAGGAGATGGGAAGATGCTGGGAGGCCAAAGGGAAGCCCAGGCTCCCACTGGGAAGACTTAGGTGATCTGTTAGTGTTGGCACATGTTGGCACGTGCACGTGTGTGTGTCTGTGTGTGTCTCCAGTTTCTCTATCTTTTGAGTCTCTGAGCGTCTTTGGGTTTCCACGTCTCTCTGTGTCTATCTGAGCGTCCCTATCGATACAGCTCCCTGAGGAGGGGGCCTATCTTTTCTTCTGTTTCTATATCCCCCGTGCTTAGCAGAATGCTTGGCACGTAGTAAGTGCCTCGTAAATGTTTTTCTTTCATTCTCTCCATTCCTTTTTAATGTCTGGTCTTCCTGTCCCAGCTAAGCCCTACCCCAGTGCTTGGCGTCTAGATGCTTAATAAATAATCAGGTGCTGAACGAAGGAGTGACTGATCCTCGGTGCCCGGGCATGTGCCCTTTGTGCATCTCTCCATGGCTCTCTGGTCCCCGTGTCTTTTCTGAGCCGAGGTCTGCGTGTGGGCTTTGGGGGCAACAGGACTTGTACAAGGGGCCTCCTGAGCCTCTTCCTAACCTCTCCCCATACCTGGACCCCACAGGCCACCATCTCCTATTACCAGACCATGCACATGCAGACAGCCCCGTTACCTGTCTACTTCCAGACCATGTGTGAGAGCAGCAAGCTGTACGACCCGGGGCAACAGTATGCCTCCCACGTGCGGCAGCTTCAGCGGGACGTCGAGCCAGACACTCAGTATGACTTTGAGCCCTACGTGTCCCACAACACCTGGTACGGCCTGCTCTCCTCCCCAGAGCCTGCGTCCCCGTCCAAGCGGGTCTGCAGTGAGGGCCTCCCCTCCTCAAGTTTACGGGACCAGGCACCGCTTGGGAAGCCAGTCATCCAGGTCTCCTAATAATGGACGTCCACCTTTCTGATTCGTAACCCGGGCCTCGTGTTTGACCTGGCTCCTGATTTCTGGGTTTAGGCTGGGGAGTAAGGGCAGAAGGAATGTCTGCTAAAAGTATCCCAGTACTGCCTGTAGTAGCAAAAGGCTGGAAATAATGTAGGTGGCTGTCCATTGCAGAAAGGCTGAACAAATTGTGGTACAGGACTGTAGTCTTTGTCTTCCATAATATAGCTTGTTAGCCAGCCTTTCTGCAGTGCTTTAAGCACTTTGTAGACGTTAGTTCATTTGATCCTCACTTATTCTCTGCATTTTACAGATGAGGAAGCTGAGGCTGAGAGAGGTTTTTAAGTGACTTGTTAGCCCAGGGTCACACCACTAGTAAGCAGGGTTCAGACTCAGGTCTTCCTGCCTCCGGTTTGCCATGACACCTAGCTGCCATTCCAGAAGAGCAGAGTCTGGGGACACCCAGACTGTGAGAGTAACGACTGGCTCCTGGCAGGAGTGAGGGTGCCCAGGAAAGCAGATTGGGCTCACAGGCCATTGGGTTTGGTTTTTTTAGCAAACATTAAATAAACGTGGTGGTAAGTTTGGAGGCATTTGGAACACCCACGTCCACCCCTCTCTACTCACTTGAGATAGCCCTGTCCTAAGCCCTGGACATTTCCTAAAATGGCCCCTGCCCCTTCCTCCCGGCAATCTGTCATTTATTTATTTGTTGAATTCACACAACTTTTTTCATTCTTTTTTATTAATTTATTTTGATTTATCAACAATCACTTCCATAAGCTTTTGAGTTTTAAATTTTTCTTCCCTCCCTCCCCAAGGTGGTGCACAATCTGATATAGGCTATACATATACATTCCTATTAAACATATTTTCACATTAGTCATGTTGTAAGGAAGAATTAGAACCAATAGGAGGAACCACCAGAAAGAGGAAACAAAACAAGGGGAAAAATAGCAGAGAGTCTGCTTTGATCTGCATTCAAACGCCATCATTCTTTTGGATGTGGATGGCATTTTTGTTATGAGACATTTGGAGATGTCTTAGATCCTTGCATTGCTGAGAAGGGCTAAGTCTGTCAATGTTAGTCATAGCACAATGTGGCTGTTACTGTGTACACTGTTCTCCTGGTTCTGCTCACTCCACTCAGCATCAGTCCATACACGTCTTTCCAGGTTTTTCTGAAGTCAGCCTGTTCATCATTTCTTATGGCACAATGGCATTCCATTACATTCATATACCACAACTTGCTCAGCCATTCCCTCAAATTGATGAGCATCCTCTCAATTCCCAATTCTTGGCCACCACAAAAAGAGCTGCTATAAATATTTTTGTGCATGTGGGTCCTTTCCCCATTTTTATGATCTCTTTGGGATATAGCCCTGGAAATGGTATTGCTGGGTCGAAGGGTATGCACATTTTTATAGCCCTTTGGGCATAGTTCCAAATTGTTCTCCAAAATGGTTGGATTATTTCACAACTCCACCAACAGTGCATTAGTGTTCCAATTTTCCCACATCATCTCCAACATTTATCATTTTCCTGTTTTGTTATGTTGGCCAATCTGATAGGTGTGATGTGGTACCTCAGAGTTGTTTTGATTTGCATTTCTCCAATCAGTAGTGATTTAGAGTGTTTTTTCATATGACTATAGATGGCTTTAATTTCTTCTTGTGAAAACTGCCTATTCATATCCTTTGACCATCTATCAGTTGGGGAATGACTTATATTCTTATAGCAATCTGTTATTTAGATGAAGACTTCTTAACCTGTTGTGGATGTTCTGACCCTTTCAGCAGTCAGGTGTAGACTGTGGGCCTCTTCTCAGATTAATATTTTTAAATGCCGAAAGTAAAAGATAAGATTACACTGGAAATCTGTTAAATTGAAATATAGTCATCTACATATATAAAATATAATTCTATATGTATGTGTATGTGTGTAGATGTATGTGTTATACCAGATTCCACTGAAGCAATAAGATATATTTGCTGTTTTCTTGGGCAGGCTACTTCCTTTCTCTTGGTCTCAGTTTACCTCATCTGTAAAATGGGAAGGGGAGAAGGGAGTGGACTGGATGGTCTCACAGATCCCTCCCAGCTCAGCCATGTTCTAAGCTCCCCACATTCTTCCAGCCCCAACATTCTAGATTCTGAGGTCTTTTTCAGCCCTGACATACTTGGTTCTGAAGTCATTTCCAGCTCTGACTGTTTCTAAGTCTGGGCCTCCCTACCCCAGTGAGGGTTACCTGTCTTGTGTTCTCTGCTTAGGTCACCCTTAGTGCGGGCGAGGAAGTCCAGCTTCAATGCCAATGATGTGAGCGGTGGAACAGAGGGCAGCGGAGGGGGCTCTGAGGGAGGGGCAGTGTCTAAGGATCGGCGAGGTAAGTTTGGAGCTCAGAGACGTTGGCTGCGGGGGTGAGGTCAGATAGATGTGGTTACGCCGTTTCAGGCTGGGGGGTCGGGGTAGAGTTTGGTGGTGTTCCACAGCCCCTAATGGACGTGACTTCTTTCCAGGTGGACGGGGCCACCAGGTCCATAAGTCATGGCCCATCTCCACAGCAGACTCTGATAGCAGCTTGGACCCCAGCACCACTGGTCCAGGTAACAGGAAAGTTTCTGAGAATTTTCCTCAGTACCTCTTCCCTCTTTAAAGGATGCTGGGACGCAGGATGGAGTTTTATCTCTCATGTGACTGTAACATGTCCTTTGTTTCCCTGGGCCGGTCTCCTGGAGTCCCAAGATAGTGTGTCTAGGCACAGGCCACGTGGATAATGTGAACTGTTGGGGGGGGGCGGTTTCCCAGCAGGGGACTTCCAGAAGATCGAGCGGACCTCATCTAGTGGCACCATGTCATCCAATGAGGAATTAGCTGAAAAGGAAGGCAACTCAAGCGCATTTGAACAGAGTATGTGGGGTCCTCCCTCCTTCCCACAGAGAGTAGAACAGGGGATGGAGTAACTGAGTGAGGGGATGATGGGGGTGGGGTGGGGCCAGGGAGTAAAGGAGGGGGATGTGGTTGGGGCAGGGACTTCATTCCATCACTTAATTCTGCACCCCTGGGGAGATGGACAGGATCGCAGAGCCAGACTCCCAGAGGGGGCTGTGGCCAAAGTGTAGGGGTACGTCAACCCTCTCTGCCAGTGACTGCCCCCTGGCCAAAGGCATCTGATAGATGGGGATAGTAATTGTTGCACTGACTACCTGCCAGTATTGTCATAAGGAAATTGCCTTGCAAACCGTAAAGAGCTTTCTAAATGTGAGCTGTTAGTTAACCTGTTTGGAGTTTTGCTGTCTAGTGCATCTCTCCTTTTGGGCCTTGGTCAGTGGCAAGAGGCTAGGGTGGCAGAGAGAGAAAACCGAAGGAGGGGTTGGGCAGAGATGGGTGCCTCGAAGGGCATTTGGGGTTAGTGCACATTGCTCAAGCCACCAGCAGGACTTCAGGAGGACTGCATCCAGGCTGGTCAAGGGGTAGACAGGCAGGCTGTGGAGGAAGGCAGCCATATGGTCACAGAAGCAGCTTTGGGTTCAGTTAAGCATTTATTAAGCACCTTCTGTGTGCCAGGCCCCATTCTGGGTGTGGGGGTTACACGGACAGAAATGAAACCATCTCCGGCCTCAGGCACCTTACATTGCTTGGCACAGAACCAGAGAGTTGGGATGTGAGGTTCTGACTTGCCTTTGCCCCCTCAGCAGACCTCAATGGCATTGCCCCTGAGATCGCAGTACCCACCGGCCCCTTCCGAAACGTGGGGCTCTCCAAGGCAGCCCAGACTCACCGGCTTCGGAAGCTGCGTACTCCTTCCAAGTGTCGTGAATGCAACAGCTACGTCTACTTCCAGGGCGCCGAGTGCGAGGAGGTGGGGAGGGGCGTGGAGGGCCGTGGAGCTGGCTTCCCCATCACCCTGGGGGGTGGGCAGCGGTCTTGGGGCTGACAGTGAGGTCCCAAGTTCACAGCGATGCCCCCAGCGTAGCGAGGCTCTGCCGTGCTGGTCACGATGGCGGCGTTTGTCCTCTCTCCCCAGTGCTGCCTGGCCTGTCACAAGAAGTGCCTGGAAACTCTGGCCATCCAGTGTGGCCACAAGAAGCTGCAGGGAAAACTCCAGTTGTTTGGACAGGACTTTCAGAAGGCAGCCCAGGGCACCGCCGACGGCATCCCCTTCATCATCAAGAAATGCCTGTCTGAGATCGAGAGGCGGGCGCTCAGGACCAAGGTGAAGGCCGGGGGCTCTCCCTGCAGGAGGCGGCAGCTGCGTCTGCCCCACTGCTTTAATACACCTGCCCGAGTGAGGCTGGGAGGCTGCCTGAGGCATGGGGGCAAAGGAGCGGGAGAGGTCAGGCTGGGGAGCCATTCTGTGTGCTCTGCTGGGAAGCCGAGTGTGGGACTTTGAGTCAGGAGGCGCGTTTGAATCCTGGCTCTGATGTTGACTAGCTCTGGGGCAGTAAGGAGACCAGACGATGGTCTCCAGGCTTCCTTCCAGCTCTGACCTTCTGTGCTGTGGCCCACGCAGGGGATCTACCGGGTCAATGGTGTGAAGACGCGTGTGGAGAAACTCTGCCAGGCATTTGAGAATGGCAAAGAGCTGGTGGAGCTGTCGCAGGCCTCCCCGCACGACATCAGCAATGTCCTGAAACTCTACCTGCGTCAGGTGAGCTTGGCTGGGAGGCTGTGGGCGGGCCTCATTGGGGCGAGGTCAGTTTGTCCCTGGGGTGTTGGGGGGGGGTCAGACCAACTTCACCCCTGCCCCCCTGCACTGTCTGGGCCTTCCTTAGACAGAGAGGCTTCTGACCTTGTCCTGGCCACCCTTTGGCTCTCAGTCACCTCATCCCACAATAAGGAGGTTGGACTTGATGAGCTCTGGGACCTCCTCCAGCTTCAGACCTTGTACTCTGTCTGCTCACCAGGCCCTGGGGTGGGACAAGGGGAACGCCTGTGTCCCCAGCAGGCCCCACAGTTGGCTTCTCCGTTGGGAGGAACCGATGAAAGCCCCGTACCTGAAATGTTTTAGGAGGAGAGGACTCTCTCAGGCTGGTCGATGGGTGTTTAGAAAGGGCAGTGGTTATTTCTGTGGCCTTGTCAAGGACAAGTCAGGCCAGACTAACCCCATCCCATTTAGCAGGTGCTTACTAAATGTTTATTGATTGATTGGGGGTCAGGGTTATCAGAATATAGCTTAGGGTTGGGAGGAATGCAGCAGTCTGAGACTTGGTTGGGGAGGGGGTAGGGCTGGGAGGAGCATCTCTGGGCTTCAAAACTTTTTTCTTTCGGAGATGAGGCAGGGATGGTGGAGGCAATCAGGATTAAGTGACTTGCCCAGGGTCACACAGCTAGTAAACGTCTGAGGCTGAATTTGACCTTCTGACTTCAGGGCCAGTGTTCTATCCGCTGACCACCTGGCTGCCTCAACAAAGCTTTTTCTATGTTATTTCTCCCTTTTGTTTTTACATCACAGTCATTTGTGACTCAACAAAGCATTTGGCAGATTCTCTTACGAGACACTAGGATGGCTGGTTGAAAGCTATGTGGGAGCTGTCCTAAAGCTGGGGGGCGGGAGAGTCCCCTCTGGGAAGGTAGTGGAGATCTGCAGACAGAGACTTTGAGAACATTGTAAAAGGGCTTCTTGACCCAGTGGCCCCAGACATCCCTACTGCCACTTGGGCTTGGCCCATGGCTTATGAATTTATTTTAGAGGAGGAGACTTTCTGTGCTTCTTTGGTTGTGGAGGGGGCATTCCAGGCTACATGTCCAAGAGGGGATTGGTCTCAGAGCTCGGAGTGGGCCTGAGGGTCAGCGGTCCAGCCCAGTGTGCTGGGCCTTGAATTGGCAGGCACTCAGGAGACCTGGGTTCAAATCTTAGCTCCAGTGCTTTTTGATGTTAGATAAGTCAATTAGCCTTGCAGAGCTTTGGTTTTCTTATGGTCTGACAGATAGTGAGCCTTTCATGACTTCCCTCAGTGAGTTGTAAGGTTTAATCTGCTATAGATGAAGGGAACCATAATGGTTCAGAAACACTGTGGTGGTGAAGTAGAAATAAGTGAACGTGGGGGTCAAGAGATACGGGATCTGAAGATCCCGGCCCAGGAACTGAGAAGCTCTGTGACCATAGGGAAGTGGCAATACCTTTCTGAGACTCGGTTTCCACATCTGTAACACGGCAGTCATAGTCTTGTGGGGAAAACCTTGAAGTGCTCGAGAAATGAGGTTGAGAAAGGGGGTTGGTGGGAGGCAGGCCTCTGGACCCTCATACCTCCCTGGCCCCCCGCAGCTGCCAGAGCCCATCCTTTCATTCCGCCTATATCATGAGCTCATGGGGCTGGCCAAGAGAGCCTGCAGGCAGAGGCAGAAGCCAAGGCAACTCGGGGCCGGAGTGAACCCGACAGAGACAAGGAGCAGGATGTGGAGGCCATGACCAGCAGGCTGCGGGACCTATTGAAGGAGCTGCCTGTGGAGAACAAGGCCACGCTGCAGTACCTCGTTCGGCACCTTCGGAGGTGAGGGGGGAGGGGGCCAGGCAGGGGCTCTCCAGCTGCCCCGAGGGAGGAGGGGAAGGCCGCCATCCCTCATGGCGCATCCCAGGCTTGGAGTCAGGGACCCTTGGCCTGCGAGTGTGTGTTGAGAATGTTTTTTTTTAATTGACAAAAAGTCTCTTTTTTTCTTTCTTCCATCTACCCCCCTCACTGAAAAAAAAAAGGAAAACAAACCCCCTGTGATATATCTAGTCAAGGAAGACAAACTCTGCCATTGGCCACGTCCCAGTAATCTGTACCCTGAGTCCATTAACCTCTCTGTCAGGAGGTGGGAAGTGGGTCATGAATCTTTTGGAATCCTTGCGAAGGATTCATTACAAATCCTTTGGTCGTTGGATTGGTCGGAGTTCTTAAGTCTTTTATTAAAGCTGTTTGTTTTTACAATGTTGTTATTGTATAAATTGTTCTCCAGCAGCCCTGGTTTTGAATTCTTATCCTGATAATTGACTGACTGTGTGACCTTGGACAAATTATTGAACCCCTCTGAGTCTCAGTTTCCTCATCTGTAAAATGTGGGGGGTTAGACCAGCTGATGTCTAAGGTACCTTCAGCTTGTGGTGTAGTCAGGAGGACTGGGGTTCAGCTCTTCTCTGAAAGGTGTCAGCTGTCTGGGTGATCAATCTGAGTCCATTTCCTCCTCTGTAAAGTGGAGGTCTGACAATCACAGTGCCTCCAGTTCTGGACCAGGCTTGCTGTGAAAGGCATATAAACGAATGTAGGGGAAAGCCCCTGGCAGACCTGAAAGTCCCATCCTGGGGTGGTTGTGCAGAAAATGCAGCACAACCTTTGAATTGCTATAGAACTTGTATAATGCTATAATTTTTAAAAAGCTTTTATTTTTTTTTCCAGTTACATGTAAAAACATCTTTTAACATTAGCTTTTTTTTTTTTTAAATTTTGAGTTCCATATTCTCTCCCACCCTCCCTACCTTATGAGAAGGGCAAGCAATTTGATAAAGATTATACAGGTACAAAACACATTTCCATATTAGTCAAGGTATTAAAGAAAACACAGCGCCCCCTCCAAAAAAAATACAAAGAAAAAAAGGCAAAAAATAGTAGATCTGCATTCAGCCTCCCTCACTTCTTTCTCTGGAGGTGGAGAGCATTTTTTCATTGAGTCTTGGGATTGTCTTGGATCATTGTGTGGCTCAGAATAGCTAAGTCATTCACAGTTGATCATTGTACAGGGTTGCTGTTACTGTGTACGATGTTCTCCTGTTCTGCTCACTTTACTTGCATCAGTTCGTATAAGCCTTTTGAGGTTTTTCTGAAACCGTCCTTTGTCACTTTTTTATAGCACTGCAGTATTCCATCACAATCAAATACCATTCCCCAGTTGATGGGCATCCCCTCAATTTCCAATTCTTTGCCACCACAAAAAGAGCTGCTATGAATATTTTTGTACATAGAAGTCCTTTTCCTTTTTCTTTGATCTCTTTGGGATACAGACCTAGTAGTGGTATTCGACCCTAGTACTGGGTCAGAGGGTTTGCACGGTTTTATAGCACTTTGGGCGTAGTTCCAAATTGCTCTCCAGAATGATTGGATCAGTTCGCAACTTCACCAACAGTGCATTAGGATCTCAATTTTCCCACATCCCCTGCAATATTTATCATTTTTTTTTCTGTTATATTAGCCAATCTGATAGGTGTGAGTTGGTACCTCAAAGTTGCTTTAATTTGCCTTTCTCAGTAGTGATTTAGAGTATATTTTCATATGACTATAGATAGCTTTGATTTCTACTTTTGAAAACTGCCTGTTCGTATCCTTTGACCATTTATCAGTTGGGGAATGAGTTGTATTATAAATTTAACTCAGTTCTCTATATATTTGAGAAATGAGGCTTTTATTAGAGATACTTGCTGTAATTTTTTTTCCTTTTTTTAAAAAATTAATTAATTTTTAGTTTTCAACGTTCACTTCCATAAGCTTTTGAGTTTTAAATTTTCTCCTCCTCCCTTCCTTCCCCCCTCCCCAAGACAGTGTGTAATCTGATATAGGCTCTGCATATACATTCCTATTAAACATATTTTCACATTAGTCATGTCGTAAAGAAGAATTAGAACTAATAGGAGGAACCATGAGAAAGAAGAAATAAAGCAGAAGAGAAAAAAAAGAGCAAACAGTATACTCCGATCTGCTTTTAGCCTCCAGAGTTCTTTCTCTAGATGTGGATATTTGCTGTAAATTTTTTCTCCAGCTTTCTGTTTTCCTTTAATCTTAATCTTGGTTGCATTGGTTTTGTTTGTGCAAACCCTTTTTAATTTAATACGATCAGAATTACCATTTTACATCTCCCAATGCTCTCTATCTCTTGTTTGGTCCTAAATTCTTCCCTCATCCGTAGAGCTGACAGGTAATATATTCCATACTCCCCCAATTTGCCTGTGCTGTTGCCCTTTATATCTAAATCGCGCGTCCATGTTGACCTTACCATGATGAATGGTGTAAGATGTTTGCTCTGTACCTAGTTTTTGCCAGACTGTTTTCCTATTTTGTCAGCTAGTACTTTCTTGTCCCAAAAGCTTGGATCTGTGTGTTTGTTAAACGCTGTTGTGTATTCTGTACTTATCTATTCCGCTAATCCACCACTGTTTCTTAGCCAGTTCTGGTGATTACCACTTTGAATACAGCTTGAGATGTGGTACGGTTAAGCCACCTTACTCCACGGTTTTGGGGTTTTTTTATTGATTCCCTTGAAATTCTTGACCTTTTGTTTTTGTCATTTTTTCTAGCTCTATAAAATAATTTTTTGGTAGTTTGATTGGCATGGCATTGAACAGATAAATGAATTTAGATGGAATTGTCATTTTTGTCATATTGGTTCAGCCTCCCCATGAGCAATTCATATTTTTCCAGGTGTTTAGATCTGCCTTTATTCATGTGAAAAGTGTTTTGTAACTGTGTTCATGTAGTTTCTGGGTTTGTGTGGGCAGCAGACTCCCACGTGTTTTGTATTGTCTGAAGTTATTTTAAGTGGAATTTCTCTTCCGCTCTCCGGCTGCTGGACTTTGTTAGTAATCTATAGAAATGCTGATGATTGGCGAGGACTTATTTTATATCCTGTGACTGTGCTGCAGTTCATTGTTTCACTTAGTTTTTCAGTGAATTCTCTAGGATTCTCTACAAAGAGGGATTGACTATTCATGCCCAGATCTTGTTGATACGTTATCTTCTCACCCCGGGCAGGGTTGTGGAAGTGGAGCAGGACAACAAGATGACGCCGGGCAACCTGGGCATCGTCTTTGGGCCTACCCTGCTGCGCCCACGGCCCACGGAGGCCACCGTGTCACTCTCCTCCCTGGTGGACTACCCACACCAGGCGCGCATCGTGGAAATCCTCATCTCCTTCTACAGTGTCATCTTCGAGGTCCCGGCTGAGGAGGTGCAGGAGGAGAGCCCCACCAGTGAGGTCGGTGTGCGGGAAGTCCATCCTGGGCTCCTCGGGGTCCCTGGGTGCTGTCTGTCTGCAGGACAGACACACACCGGGCACCCGTGGGCTGTAGAACAGCGCTTGTCTGTGTTAATATGTATTATGTATCAGGATGAATCTGTGTTAGGAATCATCATATGAATCAGGCTCAATCCATTTCTGTAGCTGTTTCAAGCTTATAACTTGCTTTTCCCACAATAACCCTGTGGGGTAAATTATGTCGTTCTTACTCCCATTTTACAGATGAAGACGCTGAAAACACTCTCTGAGGAGAGTTAAAGTGATTTGTCCAAGATGTGATAGCTAGGAGAATTTGAATTCAGTGCATTCCACGCTGTCTCACTGACTCCTTAGAATGGAAGGGTCTGGAGAGGTCGCCTTGTCCTTCTCTGTAGGCTAGGGATCCTCCTAAAGCTTCAGTAGAGACTGAGTGGGAGTGGACAGCCTTTTCTCACGTTATCCCCAGGCTGTACCGGCTGTTTGGAGACCGTTACCCTGGCGTGTAAACATCCACACTTCGTATCTGAGTGACCCAGGGCAAGTCACTTAACCTGTCTGCCTCAGTTTCCTCAGCTGTAAAATGGGGATGCTAATAATAGCACCCACCTGCCAGGGTCATTGTGAGGATCGAATGACATAGTATCTATGAAGTACGGGCACACAGCAGCCACTCCAGGAATACTTAGGTCCTTCCTTCCTTTGTTCGCCAGGCCTCAGCTTTTCTCATCTGTTTGTAACCGTCAAAACAATTAAGGTAGATTGAAGCACAGATGGGGCAGCTAGTTGGCATACTGGATAGAATGCTGGGCCTGGAGTCAGGAAGACCTGAGTTCAAATCTGGCCCACACACTTACTACCCTCTGTGACCCTGGGCAAGTCACTTCACCCTGTTTGCCTCAGTTTCCTCATCTGTAAAATGAGCTGGAAGAGGAAATGGCAAACCAGTCCAGGATCTCTGCTAAGAAAATCCCAGATGGGGTCATGAAGAGTCAGACTCAGCTGAAAATGACTGAACAGCAGCAAAAGGCACAGAGTTCTGAGCACGATCCGTTTATTGGGAAAGCATGAATTTCCCAAGAGACGGGATCTCAGCTTCCCCAGGAAGCTCAGCCCCAAAGTGGGGGGCGGCTGCCCTTTTTCAAAGGATAGTGATTGGTGAGAAATTGGGAGCGAGGGGCTAGCAGCACCCCTCCCTCCCTCCTGTGGCTGAGAAACGTCCATGGCTCAATTCCACCCGCGAGAGTGGAGAACTCGGGCCTTGGGAGGGCACAGCTGGCCCAGCTCAGCTCAGACACAAAGAATCATGACGCAGGCAGTTAGCAGGACAGCATCAATGAAAACAGACATCGAGGCTGATTATCTCATGTTCCGTGGGGATAATCACGCTCATGCTGTGCACTTCTGGGGCCCGTTGTGAAAAAAGCACGGCGTAAGCAGGACGCTGCCATCAGCGGCTGCTGGGTAGTCTGGCGGCCACCTGCGCTCTCTTCACCGCCTCTGGGAGCTGAAGGTCTCGCCTTGCCTCCCAGACAGGCCCCTGTGGGAAGGCTAGCTTGACCATCCATCTCCTTGGGGGCAGGGAGAGGCCAGGGAAGAGCTTGGGCCCATGCAGATGTTGGCCTCCTCTTCATTATGATGGCTGGCTTGGCTACCTTGTAGCTGTGGGGTTTTTTCTTTCTTGATAAAATAATATGATTTATCTGGAGAAACACGATCTGGTATCCAGAGAAATAAGGCAAAAAGGAAGGAGTGCAAGGAGAATGGTATTTTTATGCCTTAAACTTCATCCCAGAGCAGCTGTCATCAGAACCACGGAGCTGAATTTTTTTTTTTTAAGACAATTGGGGTTAAGCGACTTGCCCAGGGTCACACAGCTAGTTCTGAGGCCGGATTGGAACTCAGGTCCTCCTGACTTCAGGGCCAGTGCTCTATCCATTGTGCCACTTAGCTGCCCCCAAGCCAAATGTTTTTATCATCTTTTGGGGGGGGGGTGCTAGGGCAGAAAAAGGCCCAGGACAATAGATGACTTAAATTTTTTACTGTTTTTTCCCCAATTACATGTAAAAACATTTTTAACATTCACCTTTTAAAATTTTGAGTTCTAAATTCTCTCCCTCCCTTTTCCCCTTCCTGAGATGTTATGCCATTTGGTATAGGTTATACACATGCAATCTTGTAAAATATCTCAAACAAAAAAAGTGAAAAACAGTGTGCCTTGACCCGCGTTTCGATTAGTCAGCTCTTTGTCTGGAGGTGGAGAGCATTTTTCATCATGAGTCCTTTGGAATTGTCCTGGATTGTTATGTTGCTGAGATTAGTTCAGTCATTCACAGTGGATCACCGTACAATGTGGCTGTTACTGTGTACAGTGTCTTCCTGGTTCTGCTCACTTTACTTGCATCAGCTCATGGAAGTCTTTCCAGGTTTTTTTGAAGTCTGCCTGTTCATCATTTCTTATAGCACAATAGTATTCTATTCCATTCATATACCACAGTTTGTTCAGCCATTTCCCAGTTGATGGGCGTCCCCTCAGTTTCCGATTCTCAGCCACCAAGAAAAGAGCTGCTATAAATATTTTTGTACAGATGCCCCCCTTTTATTTTTTTAAATCTCTTTGGGATACAGACCTAATAGTGCTATTGCTGGGTCAAAGGGTAAGCACATTTTTATAACCCTTGGGGCATAGTTCCAAATTGCTCTCCAGAGTGGTTGGGTTAGTTTACAGCTCCCCCAGTGGTACATTAGGGTCCCAATTTTCCACATCCCCTCCAACATTTGTCATTTTCCTTTTCGGTCACATTAGCCAGTCTGAGAGGTGTGAGGTGGCACCTCAGAGTTGTTTTAATTTGCATTTCTCTGATCAATATTAATTTAGAGCGTTTTTTTCATATGAGCATAGATAGCTTTGATTTCTTCATCTGAAAACTGCCTGTTCATATCCTTTGACCATTTATGAGTTAGAGAATGACTCATATTCTTATAAATTTGATTCAGTTTCCCATATATATTTTTGTAAAGCCTTTTAATTTAATCAGAATTGTCCATTTTCTACCTCCTGATGCTCTCTTTCTCTTACTTGGTCCTAAATTCCTCCCTTCTTCACAGATCTGGCAGGTAAACTATTCCATGCTCCCCTGTTTGCTGTGCTATCCCCCTTCATGTCTAAATCAGTGTACCCATTTTGGCCTTATCTTGGCATGTGGCGTAGATGTCGGTCATACCTGATTTCTGAATGGCCTTGAGTTGTCAGTCTCAACCTTTCTGGGGAGTTTCGAGGTTTGGGGAGAGCCTTTTCTCTCTCTGTCTTTAGGATGGGAGAGAGGAGCTGGTGCCTGAGTCCAAAAGCCCTGGCTTTAGGGCGTGCTTCTGACAAGTACTCACTTTGGGGTGGGGAAAAATGCAGCTCTTGGCACAGTGCCTGGTGTGTAGGGGTGTGGCTGGGCCTTCTGTAGGGACTGGGATTCTCCCCTCACCACTCCCATCTTCTTTCTAGGATGGACCCTCTTCCCAGCATCCTAGGGGGGAGATACCTTTCTTGGAAGTGAGTGAAGATACGCCTGACCTGGATTTCCAAACGGATGCATACGGAGGTAAGTCGCAGCCCCTTGTGTGGTCAGTGCTTGGGGCAGGTGACACAGCCCTTGATGAGGAAGGTTGGGAGGTGGTCAGAGGAGGGAGACGTGGAAGTGGACGGCCCCAGATTGGATATGTGGAATATGAGAGGGATGCAGGGGTGGACGCTGAGGTTGCAGGCCTGGGGAAGTGGGTGATGGTGCTCCTTGTTGGTAATAGGGAGCGTTTGTGGGTAGAGATAATGAATTCTGTTTTGGACATGTTTAGTTTAAGGCGTCTTTGGGACGTCCAGCTTAAGATGTTCAGAATTCGTTTGGTGATGTGGGACTGGAGGTCTCGAGAGAGTCTGGGCCGGACCTCTAGATCTGGTGGAAGCTGGTAAGATCAAGTGAAACAGTGTAGGCGGGGCAGAGGAGAGGGCCTAGGACCAAGCTTTCAGGACAGGCAGGGGGATGTGACTTGGATGAAGGTCCAGCAAAGGAGATTGAGAAGGAGCTGAAGAATGAGTAGACAGCAGTGTTCCCGAATCCCCGATGAGAAGATGTGGGAGAAGAGGGGGATCGAGACTGTCAGAGAGGAGTGAGAAAAAGTCACATTTGGCACTAGGGCGTCACTGGGGACTTTGGAGAGAGCAGTTTCCCTAAAACAGTATGGAAAAAAGCCACACTGCAGAGGGTTTACAGGCAAGCGAGAGGAGAGGAAATGTAGGCAGCAAGTATAGACCGCATTCTCCAGCAGTTTAGTGGAGAAGGAGAGGAGAGAAGTGAGATCCTAACTACCAAGGGTGGGAGGAATGAGGGAGGGTTGGGATTTTTTGTTTGTTTGTTTGTTTTTCTTTTTTGGTGATTGGGGTTAAGTGACTTGCCCAGGGTCACACAGCTGGTAAGTGTCAAGTATCTGAGGCCGCATTCAAACTCAGGTCCTCCAGTCCTGTATCCACTGCACCAGTTAGCTGCCCCTGGGTTTGTTTTTTTAAGGCTGTGGGAGACAAAAGCACATTTGTAGGCGCTGGGGAGGGAGGCAGTAGATGGGCAGAGATTAAAGATTAGCGCTAGAACGGGCATGGCGAGGGCACGGACCGTTGGAGAAGATGGGAGAACGGACCCGAGGAGTTTGGGGTCGACTTGGGTTTTGCCTGCCTTCCTATCCCCAGTGTGTCCCGTGTTACCTATAGTGTTTAGTGCCCGAGCCATCTTTAGGCAGGTAGGTGGTGCAGGGGACATGGAGCCCTGGACCTGGAGTCAGGAAGAGCTGAGTTCAAATCTGGCTGCAGATACTACCTGTGTGACCCTGAGCAAGGAATTTAACCGGTCTGCCTTAGTTTCCTCATCTGTAAATGGGGATAGTAATAGCACCTGCCTCCCAGGGCGGTTGTGAGGGTCCAGTGAGATGGCAGATGTGAAGCACTCTGCTGTTCCTGACTTCCTAACCCCTTGGAATTGGGCTTCCTGCCCAGCACCCAAACAGCGTTGCTCTTTCCTGGGTTACTCATGACCTCCCAGCTGCTCAATCTGAAGGTCTTTGCTCAGTTTGCACTTCGCTTGACCTCTGTGAAGCTTGTGCTGCTACCGGCCCCTCCCTCCAGGCTCCTGGTCTTTCTCCCGCTCCTCTCTTCCCTGGCCTGCTGCTCGTTCCTGCCTCCTCTTCTCGGCCTCCTCCGCGGGATCGGCGGCTATTTCTTGCCTGGCCGTCCTCTGCTGCGGGCCGCCTTCTCTCTCTCTTCTCTCTCCCTTAGGGTCTCCTCGGTTGCCGTGGGTTCAGTTAGCGTCTCCACCAGAGGACGTCAAGCCTCTGCCGCTAACCCACATCAGGCTTCTTGGTGGACGGTTCTGTCTGTAGCTCCCATGTGCTTTTCAAACCCAGGCCGTCTAAAATTGGACTCATTTCTCTTACTGCCTTAATCAGTCCCTCCTCCAAAATATCCCTGTGTCTTTTGAAGGCACTACTGTCTTTCCATTTACTCAGGTCACATCCCAACCTCATCCCCCACATCTGAGCATTTCTCAGTTTTTTTTTTTTGGCAAGGCAGTTGGGGTTAAGTGACTTGCCCAGGGTCACACAGCTAGTGAGTGTTATGTGTCTGAGGTCGGATTTGAACTCAGGTCCTCCCGACCCCAGCGCGCGCCGCCTCGCTGCCCCCCCATTTTTCCATTCTTGTCAGTTCTTTCTCCCTGTCTTTCAGATGATGGCCTGTCTTGACTCACATGCCCTGCTGCCTTCTTCAGGCCCTCACTCTTGCCAAGGTGGCTGCAGTAGCCTTTTAATTGAGCTCCCCTCCATCCAAGCCATCTACCATCTAATGGCCAGAGTAATTGAGTTAGGTTCTGACCATGTCTCTTCCAGGGCTTTTTATTAAAAAGCCTCAGTGGCTTTCTCCGTGGCTTCTAGGATCAAGTGAAAGTTGAGTTTGGCATTGAAAGCCCTCCACAGACTGGCTCCCACATCCCTTTTGAAACATGTCTTGTTACTGTCCTTTGTAAAATCCAGTGTGGAGCCCAGCTGGCCCGCTCTTCCTGGACTGCCATCTTGCTCGTTTGTGTGGGCTTCCCTGCCTGTTAACAAGCTCCCTCGTCATCTCTTCCAGTTAGAATCTTTTTGTGAGCTACAAGGGACCTCAGAGGCCCATATTTTACAGATGAGGAAACTGAGGCCCAAGGAAGTGATGTTTTGTTATTAGTGTTCTTTTTCTTCTGAAGTGATCTTTTCTTTCCTTATCTGTGTATATGTTATATGCCATAAGAGAAGTCAAGCTCTTTAAGGAGGACTGGTTTTTTCGCAGTCTTCATAGCCCTAGCAATGTTGACATGTGCAGTGCACATAGTAGGTGTTTTAGTAAAATGTGTATTGAATGAATACATACAGAGTGGTTTGTCAACTGTAAAAAGACCTCTAAATGTGAGCTTTTATTTTTTTGCTTTTCCCAGAATCCATTAACCGTTCCAACGACTCGGACTCAGAACTGGAAGACAGCTCAGACTTGCAGGCATCTGATGGTGCCAGCTCCCTGTGCCGACTCAGCCTCTTGATGAAACAAGAAAGTGAGACTAGCACCGAGGAAGGATCCCAGAGCCACAGAGGAAGCGTGGAGCACCTGGACCCAGTGAGAGGGGAGCAGAGTGATGGGGATGAAGATCAGGACCCAAGCAAAGAGGCCCTGGTCCTGCAGCTCTCCTCTTACAACTCCAACCAGTCCAACAATATCCTCCAGGCAGGGCCTAACACCCAGGAGGCGCGGTCAGGCCTCCCTGCGGTCCGGCTACGTGGGGGGAAGATGACCGTGGGCGCCCGCGGAGAAAGGCGGCCGGAGTTTGTTTGAACTTTGCGGTGTCGGCAGACGCAGAATTTGGGGAAAGTAATGGACTTAATTTGGGACATAAAATATTGGAATGAGGAAGACTGGCTGGGTGAGACCTGGGGTGAATAACTCATAACTGCAGCTGGTTCTGGGCGCAGATAGGGTTGCTCCAGATGCTCTGCAGAACTCCACAAGGCACCTTGGTCTGAATGCAGCCAGACAGACATGGCTGCCATGGCTCAGGTCATCCTGAACTGTCACTTTTTCTCTGGTCCCCACTATGGCAATTGCAGCGAATTTTTTTCACTTTTTTTTCTGTATGGATCTGGCAGCGTCTCCATCGTGGGATTCCTGCTTCCTGCTATCTGGTCTGCTCTTTCAGAGGGCCAGAACTCTATTTTTAAAACAGGTGACTTTTGCTAGTGGGTTGCTTTTTTAAAAAAATGTTTTTATTTTTACTTTTTTGGAGTAGGGAGGCAAGGGATCTCTCAGTGGTGTGATGTATCCCCTGAGCCGTACTGGATTCAGTACCCCCAGAGGCCCAGATGCCTTGCCTTTAGCGTATTAGAAGAGGCACTGAGTAGGCGGGTTCCTTCTCTTTTAATGTGGGTTGGTCTCTAACAACCTCTTACCAGGCCCCTGGTGGGCCTAGAGTGATTAAAAAATGAACCAGACTTTGGGGCTACAGCCCTTGTACAGCATTAGGGTCCTGATCTACCTAGGGAGCTTGGGTGGGAGAGCAAGAACTTTAAGCATTGCAAGTTATGTGGTGATTTTGAAATCCACAAGTGTAATCCTTCACATGTAGAAGTTAAAACAAAGATCCATTTCTCTTCTAATTCAGACCTAGCCTTTAATCTCCGCCCCAAAGATCCTGAAGAGTGTCTAGGACCCTTCTATCCCAGTAGGGTGGTTGTGGCTGGAGTTACTGCCCGGGGACCACTGGTTTCACAAAACTGGGAAAATCCTTGTCCAGTTCTGGACTCTACTAGAACATAGTATGAAGTGTTAAGTGCACTTAGGAGGATCCTGGGCCAGGAGCTACTTTTGAAATGGCCCCCAAAAGAGGTCTTGCCTAAGATACTCTATAGCACTTCCATGTGCCAGCAGTGTAAAATGTCACAGGAATGCCAGCCCAGTCGGAACTCCGGAAGCTGACTCTTATCCCTCAGTTCATAGACCATCCTTACAAAGTTGCTGGGGCCGGGCTGGAAATAATAATATTTTATGTATGTATGTATGTATACAGACATATAAACACTGCTTTAAGGCTTACAAAAAGCTTTCCTCCCAGCAGCCCTGAGGTAGATAATGCAAGGTTTGGTGCCTGAGGCTTTGGTCATAAACTTATTCGTGGTCGTAGTGTAGAGCCACTGTGTTAAGAGCTGAGGTTCAAGCCCAAGTGCCTGGATTTAAGGTCTTTCCCCTGTGCCCTGCTGAGCACCACTGGGTCCGATTTCACTCCTTAGCAGAAGGAAATGGAGTTTTCTTCATGCTCGCTGCAGAGGTGCTCAGAATAGAGGCAGGATTGGTCTGTGGACTGGAGGCACTAACTGGGGACGAGAGGCACTGTTTCAGCTCAGCAGCGGGGGCAGGGCATGTTATTTGCCATGGAGAGAGAAGCAGTCTGGTGGTCCTCTGGAAGCACAACACTCATGGTTTGTATGTTTTATGTCTTGCTGACGACTTTGAAATGCACATTTAAAAATATTAATTCCTTTGCTTAAAATAAAATTTGGAGTTCATTTCCTCTGCTGGGAGAATAACTCATTCTGGTGGCCAGCCTCTCCTCAATTGAGAATTTCACTGTGATTTTAAGACAAAAGTAGTAGGAAATCAGCTCTGAGCTTCACAAGAGATTTAGGGCTCAAAAGCTGTCCCAAGACCTCAGATGTGCGGGCTCATACTGGCACGGGGGCCCCAGGACTCAAAGGTAGAGCTCTGTGTTCTCTTCTGTTTGCATTTCATTCAAGTCATTCAAGGAAAAGACCCTCCCCTACAGGAGCAGATGAGCATCTTTGGAAGGGTACTAAGCCTATGAATAGCCATGTACAGGTAGGCTTATCCTGCGTTTTCCTAACCAGATTGCTCTATCAGGAAGGCCACAAGGGGGCATACTTCTTTTTCCTCGTGTAGTCTAAATCTCTATATCAGGAAAGTCCTTAGTCCCAGTTCTGTCCTCTGAAGCCAAGCAGAATATTCCCAAGGCTTCTCAAAGCTGTTGTCACGAACTCATGTCATGCATATACCTGAAATCTAAAGCGACAGTGGTGGCTTCTCCCTCTGCCAGTTCTGCTACACCTACCTCTACCTTACTTCAAAGCAGCATGCCAGTGGGTCTTCTTCCTGGATCCCTGGCAATAGATTTTTTTCTCTTACTGAAAAAAAGGGCCAGACTCATTCTAGAGGCCCTAAGAGTGAGGTTGGTGATGCAGCAACATGCCCTGGCTCCAGCACGCCTGCCATTCTCAGCTAGGCCAAATGCCAACCCTTGAGAAGAGAATGACTAGAAAGATACTATCTTGGAAATAGCCGTCACACCCTCATTTGTGCCAACTGTAATCTAAAACCAGTTCAGTTGATCCCAAAAGGTTTAAGAATTTATCCTGAAACCTCGCCTTCCCAATTCATTTATTGGCACTAATTTATGTAAAACTTGGAGATCAGATCTTACGTTTCCCAAAGCAATACCAACCACACATTTCAATTAAACTGTTTATTAAGTCTCTGTCATAGACAAAGCACTATAGTAGGCACTTAGTGATACAAGGATGAATACTTCCTACCCTCCAGAAATTTACAGTCTAACGTGGGGATGTGGCATGCACAAACAAGTATAATAGGAGGTAAAGTTTAGTGAAGGTAAAAGAAATCTAAAACGCTAGAAAATGAAGGCAAGATAATTTTTACAGGAGAAATAAATGATGTTCACATAGTGCTTTTAGGTTTGCAAAGCACGGCATTTCATTCTCACAAAAACTTTAAGGGTTTTTGCCATTTAACAAATAATGAAATGAAAAGCTCAGCAAAATTTCAAACTTTGCTCTTTCTCATTCCGAGTCCAACACCATTTCCACCATGCCACATTACCCCTTTTTCCAACAATAAATATTCATGGAAGAAATGGCTCCCTCAGGCTAAGAACTGATGATAATTTCAATGGGCAGAGATTAAGGAACAAGGTTCAGGGTATGAGGTAAAGCCTACAAGAGGCATTACAATGCAAAATAAAATCAGACAACTACTGTTATCCAGGTCAGGTGGAACCAGAGAGTCAGTGCAGGGAAGGTAAATGATATAAAAGGTCAAAGATGAGTTGTCATTTATCCTAGAGACAACAGAACTACAGTTGGTTTTAGGCGGGAAAATAGTGTGATCACACCTGTCTGTTAGCAGATTATTGGGCAGCTCTGCAAAGGGTAGTTTGGAGACCAAGATACAAGATCCACAACACACATTTTATTTTGTGAACCATTATGCTTCCCACCACTCCCATCCAAAAGAGATCCTATGCCATTTCTTCGTTTCCCAAATTCAGTCCTGTTGAACAAGTGAGAGGGAAAACCCATGCTTTCTTCACTGAGTTAGGCAGCACACAAGAAAATGGCAAGTAAACGGCACAGAAGTCAGCCCTCTTCACAGGTGGATCTGCCTTGCATGCTGAGACAGGAGTCAGAGGCTGGCTAGCGTATCTCCAGGGATGCTGGATAACAAGAACAGGGATCAATCCACAAGCATTTAGTATATGCCTACCACGTGCTAGGCAGTGTATACCAAATAGATACGGAGAAAGGCCCAATGTCTCTGCCTTCAAGCTGACATTCCAGACGGGGCAGATAACACATATACACACATAAATATATATCAAATTAAGACAACGTAATGTCATGGGGTGGCACTAAAACATTATTTTAGGTAAGTTTTTTTTTTTTTGCTTTTTTAGTGAGGCAATGGGGTTAAGTGATTTGCCCAGAGTCACACAGCTAGAAAGTGTCAAGTGTCTGAGGCCAGATTTGAACTCAGGTCCTCCTAACTCCAAGGCTGCAGCTCTATCCACTGCACCACCTAGCTGTCCCATATTTTAGGTAAGTCTTGAAGGAAGCTAAGGATTTAAAGAGGCAGAGGTGAGGGAAAAGCATTCCAGGCATGGGGAGATGGAACTCTGTGTGTGAGAAACAAGAAGGCTAGTTCGGCTGGACCACCAAGTAAGAGAAGGGCAGTAATGTATCATAAGGACCAGGCTGTGACTTAAAGGGCTTTAAATGTCAAAAATAAAAACCTTAACAGAATGGGAGTAAGATGGTCAAAACCGTGCTTTAAGGAAAGTACTCTGGCAGCTGTGTGGAGGACCGATTATAGAGGATGGGGACCGATTAGGAGAGTCAGATAACTACAGGGAGAGAATGCAATCCTGAATGGCTGCACAAATCTCACTCCACCCAAAGGATTAAGGATATGTATCCTTCCACAATAGAGGTCCAAGGCAAGAGACTGGGCTCTTCTTTGCCCACTATACACCGGGGAAAATGCTACAGCTGGGACACTTAAAAACAGGCCACTGGTGGCTCTGATTGAGCTTAACAGGGATTTGTTTCCCAGCAACCTATCAGGCAAAACTCTGTTAGTGAGATTTATGATTCCCCTCCAGTAAAATCTTCCAACAATTCCTCACAGAGTGGATGTGACCCTGGGTTCTCAGAGCCTATGCCAGTACTGCCAGATCCGTTAATGCTGGAAACGCTTTAGGTTTGGGCATGGGGATGGGCCAAACAGCTATCTAATGCTGGCCACAGCACCTTATGAAACGATCTGCTGAAGTGTGGGGGGTGGAGAGGGCAAGACAGGGAGACATCATTTTAGGAAGAGGCCTGGAAAGAGAGCTGGAGAGGGGAGAGGAAGGGCAAGGGGAGGAAGTACACAGAACAGAACGAGGACAGTAAAGTCAGGCCATTAGGTGACTTGGCTAAGGTCACACCAGTAAGCAGCAGCAGCTCCTTTGGTGATGCTGCCCAGAACTTCAAGATCACTGAGGACCCGGCCATTACCAAACCACTGAGATTCCCCTTCTCCAGCGTCCTTAGGGCAAACGCTTTGTGAGCTTGGCACAATGGAGGCATGTCATGGGTGGATGCCTCATAGCTCTGCATTTCCACTCCCCTCCTGCCCCTGGTGCCCAGGGCTGTCCCTGAGAGACTAAGCATGGAGCGGAAGGGCGGTGCTGGGATCTGAGGAGACCTCAGGAGGTACCACAGACCCACAGACAACTTTAGGATTTTCCAAGGAAGAGACTGCCAGGCTTGATCTGCCCTTGGGGGTGGGCACCCTGCTCAGGTGAAGGACACATTCCCCCTCCCCACAGCCACTGCTCTGTACATGGTTTACACAGGCTGTTGGACTAAAACTGAGCAAAAGAACTATCTTGAGAGACCTGCATAAAAGGAGAAACAGGTCGTAGACTAGGCTGTCAGGCCTGCCTGTCGTTTGCTGTGGGACCCTGGGATTGGAGGGTACTGTCTCTGGAATGGCAGGAGCCCTGTGTCTCCTATTTCTTCTGCTCCCCCCACAGGGCTCTCTATACACAGATGGCTTCAAGTAAGTGAAGCTGACTGATATCCTAAATGCTCACCACCCCCCAAGTGAGCATCAGATGTTAGAAAGGAATGTAAAAATCTCTTCAACAAACATCCCAGAACAGTCTGGTGTTCAACTAAGCCAGCACCATCAGAGGGAGTCCAAGAATGGCCCCAACTTACTTCTCAGGGAGTCAGCGGCCAGTTACTGCACTAGCCGGTAAGTGATATATCTGCCTGCAGTCTCACTGGGTCTTATGATCTTCACCACCTACAAATCCAAAAGGAAAAGCCCATCTTTACTTGCTGGATATCAAGAAAAAACAAATACAAAATACAAACATGTTCAGCCTTGAACTCAAATGTCATCTTTTCCATGAACTTTGATCTCATCCCTTCCACCTAGTGAATGAGCCCTTCCCTTGTGTAATCTCCAGGCAGCACTGTGGTAAAGTGCAAATAGCACTGGATTTGGAGGAGGACCTGGGTTCAAATCCTGGTTCTGCCACTTAGCTTTACCCATATGACCCCAAGCAAGTCACTCAAACTCTTGGGACTTGTGACTTACCTGTAAAGTGAGAAGGCTTCTAGCCTCCCAGATCAAATCTACAATTTTAGGAATTTTTCTAATGTACTCGATATATTCCATTATTTCTCCCTCTCAAGAAAGAGAGAAAGCACTAATAAAGGGAGGAGCAGGAAAGACCTCCTGAAGGAGGAAGAATCTGAGCTGGGCTTTGAAGAAAACTTAACATTCCTTGAGGTGAAGGTAAGGAAGGAGCACATTCCAGATGTGAGGGACCATTTTCCCCTTGTAGCCAGAGACAGGAGATAGAGGAACAGCTTGCAGGGCAACCCTGGATCAGACAGCGGGCATGAGTGGGGGAGGTGGCTGGAAAAATCAGTCTTGGGGAAATAAGCCGGATAGAGCCAAACAAAAGTGTATTTCATTCTAAAGACAACATTCTGCAGCTCTGTGGGCTTGCATCATTGGAAGGAGTTTCTGATGATGTCATAAATCTATGCATTTGAGAGTGGAGGATGGCCTGGAGAGGAGAGACATCTGAGGTAGGAAAACCAATGAGGAAGGAGCCTTTTTCAACAAGCCAGTCATGAAGATGAGGGTCTACACCAGAACTAGGGCTGGCCATGCGCGTGGTGAAAAGATGCTGGATACATAAGGGGGAAAGGCAAGGAGAAAATGAAGATGTCTCTGAGGTTGCCAAGCTGAGTGACTCCAAAGGCTGGCAGTGCCATCAACATGTCCTTGGCCAGCTCTGCTTCCTTACCTGCCCTCGCTTTATTCCAAAATAACGCGCTACTGGATCTCCGGCCTGGATTCTGGGCAGCTGGTTTTCTCGAAGCTTACTGATGAACAGAGTGAAGGAAAAACTGACCCTGTGGCCCTGGTAGGCCTGATACTATGACAGTCCACTTCCTCCCCCTCCCCCAAATACACAAAGCACTTGCCACACCCTTTTCAGCCACCCCAAGCGCTTAATGCCTGAAAGGAAAGAGGCCAAAAAGGGGAACATGAAGGATACTATCGAGCCAACAGCTCGGTGACTTCCTCTTTTGTCATGACAACATGCTCTGGAACCAGCTGTAATGAAAATCAACCAATTATGAAATTAGGAAGAAAACTGAATGGGGCAGCTAACGTGAGTTTCTAGACTAAGAATCTAGTTGCAAAGAGATGGTGGCAGTGTGCTCAGTCTGCACTCTCAGTACCTCTTTCCTGAATGCTTTATCCACTGGTCACATGCCTGGGGAATCTTATCTCCTAATCAATGAACAAGCACTTGGTAAGCACTTGAGGATACAAAGACAGGAAGTGGAAAACGTGGCCTGCTCTGGAGCAGCTACAGCAGCTGGTATCACTAGACTTGCACCTTCTGCTCCCTGCTTTCCAGGTCTGAAACCATAATCAGTTCAATGCTGCCACTGCTTCTGCAAAGGGCGTGCTGACTGACTGACTGCACCAAGCCTCCCTGCCGCTTTCTAAACCACAACAGCCGACTCATGGCCAACACTCTCCTTAATGTGCTCTTCCCACTTTGGAATGGGAACTCCTTCGGGCAGAGAGATCTTTACCTTCGTATTTTCATTCCTGGCACTTAGCACACAGGAAGCACTTAGTAACAAAAGGCTGAGTCTGAATGCTCTAGCCACTCCAGGCTCTCCTCCCAGCTCCCTGTGCTGCTCCTAATTACTGAAGTGCCTGTCTTGTTTCTCAACCGAGGAGCGGCTGGGTGGAGCCTGGGAAGAGCATTGCCCTAGGAATGGGCCGTCACTAGGGTCGCAGTCCTGGGCCTGCCAGTTTCCCAGCCATGGGGCCTTACACAAGCCTCCCCCCTCTCTCCATCTCAGCTGGATCACTGGTAAGGTCCCTTCCAGCAGAGGTCCTAGCACTGTTTGGTCTCTTCTAGAGCACATGCCTGTCTTCCTTCATCTTTCCCACATGGCTGGGTGCACAATTCTTAGGAACAAACTGCTTCTAATACACGTGAGAGGGGACCGGTCCTATACCTCATTATTCCTTTTTTCTAATGAGTTCCGCTGGCAGGTGACTTACCTCGTGTTCAGTGATATTGATGAGCAGCTCCTGCTGTAGAAACTGTTCTAGGATATATTTGGGAGCCATGTCAACCAGGGACTGCAAAGAAAAGAAACCAACACTGAAGAAAATCCAGTGCTCTTCATACTGCTTCTTTACATAGCACTCAGGTGGAACTTCCAGGCCTGGAATCAGAAGACCTGCATTTTCGGCCTGGTTCTATCATTACCTGCCATGTGACCCTGGAGAAATCAATGAACCCAAGTTTCCTCTTTTGTAAAATAAGGGGGGGGGGGCGCAATACCATTGGCAGGCGTGCCTCTCAAAGAAATATAAGAGGAAAAGGCCCACATGTACAAAAATATTTATGAGAGCTCTTTTATCACGGTAGAGAACTGGCCACTAGAGGAGTGGCCATCAACTGGGAATAGGCTGAACAAATTATGGTCTATGAATGTAATGAAATATTACTGCACAGTACTGAACGACAGAAGGACATTTTCAGGGAAAAGGAAGTGGGAAAAGACAAAAATGGTAAAGTTTTTTTTTTTAAATGAGGTGTTAGGATTATTTGAAATCTTTAAGCTCTGAAATTCTTTAATTCTCTATCACCACCAGCAATAAAGCCCTCCAAATCCTATACACAGCTCCAAAAGACAAGTTCCCTCAAAGTAATTAACTATATCCAAAGCCAAGGCCCTCATAACTTTTCTAACAATTATTCTTATTTGCACAATTTTTCTAAGTTTTCTAAATGATAAACTTCATACCACTCAATAAATATAGACTATCAAATAAAAACATAAAATACAAGCTATTTACGAGGCAGCTGGTATACAAAATTCTGGGCCTAGAGTCAGGAAGACCCAAGTTCAAAACTGGCCTTAGATACTTACAGTTCTATGACCCTGGGCAAGTCACTTAACCTATCTGCCTCAGTTTTCTCAACTGTAAAATAGGGATAATAACAGCACCTATCTCCCAGAGTCATTGTGAGGATCAAATTAGATAACATTTGTAATGGCACTTAGCTTAGTGTCTGGATATAGCACAGAGTAGGTGCTATATAAATGCTTATTCCCCTAGTTGCACACTGATTAAATAAATAATGTGCACCTTAACAAAACAAAGAAAACTGGGAAGGTAAATGCATCTCAGATACTAACTTCTGTTGCAGAAGACTGTACCAAGAATTCAAGATCCTTCAAACCAGCTCCAGGGATCACTAGAGGCCATCTGGTCTAATGCCTTCATTCTACAAGAAAAGGAAACTGAGGCCCAAGGAAATTAAGCAACTTCTTCAAAGTTACTAAGGTAGAAAGTGTGGCGACTTGGATGCAAATGTGGGAACAAAGGTGACAATACAGGTCAGGATTAAGAAACTAAAGAGGCCAAAGGGTGGTAGACTACTCTGAATCATCACATCTGTTATCATGACTATTTTCTTCAAGAAGGAAGTTGAAAGGTATGCCAAAGGCACTAGGAAAATGAAACCATCTTGACAGAAGATGGTTTCTGAACCAGCTGTCTGTGTATTCAGACAAAACTTCTCACGTTCATTACACTCCTGGAGCAGCTCAAGCTTCCTGCCACAAGACACTAACTCACCTGTTTCCTTTTTTCCCATATCCTACTATCCTTCAAAGCCAAAGCCAACTCTAACCTAATTAGAACAAAGGCCAAAATTAATGTCAAACTAGAAGAAAGGTGAAGGATGAGAAAAAAACACGTGTTAGTGGATGGCTTCCTTAACTGCCACAGCCGGTGGCCAAACTTCCTATGATTAGTCTCTCTGAACTGACGATGGGTCCACACCTACAACCGTACTTACTCAAACTAGTTACTGATACTGAAAAGTAGTGAATGGACAAAGAAGCAGACCATGATTCTGATTATTTCCCTTTCCAAAAGAATACGAATTCAAGTTAAAGTTGGAGAGGCAATGTGGCACAGCAGAAAGAGCACTAGTTTCAGAGCCAGAGGACCTGGGTTCAAGTCCTGGCCCTGCCACCACTACCCACGTCACCTCAAACCCGTCACGTCCCCTCACTGGGCCGAATGAGAGAGCTGGGCTGGATGGCCGCTGGTGTCCCTTCCTAAGCTCTAAGCCAAGGATCCCATGTAAAGCAATCACCATAAAGAGGGCTCCAGAGAGCCGAGACCACGGCAGTCTACCAAAAACGTGATCCTGCCAAACGGTGAGAAACAGCAACACACGGCAATACTGTCTTTAACTCATTGTCCATGTCTGCTCTGACTGTGTGCTTACTTTCATGTATATTATTTTAACTGGTCCTCACAAAAATCCTGAAATAGAGGGCAGCTCTCATCCCCATTTCACATAAGAGGAAACTGAGGCTCAGAGGAATCCCTTGAGCAAGTAGAGATGGGACTTGGGACTCTAGCTGGGGAGGCTGAATGGCAAGCCTTTCTAATCTCTTCTACTCTATTCAACTCCTTAAATGGGCTAATTGACTTAATTACAGAATTTTTAAAAAAGGGTCCTCGGTGCAGCAGTGCCCTAGCTACTTTCAGCTGCCTCAGGACAAAGGTGAAGACTCCAGGGGCTGAGTAGGACAGAAAAGCACTGGCCCATTTTACTCCCCAAACAGAGCCAGATCACTACTGTGGTTTTACAAACTGTTCTAGCAGCAAGAGGGGAACACAAGCCTAAGTGTGCTCTTGTTTGAAGCAAACAGGAAGCGGTCGGAACGTCTGGGACAGCTCAGCCACTTCCTTGTTTGGCTGCCCCAGCTCCAGGTAACGGGACGGTTTCTCAAGCTGGCTCTGCACTGCGAGTGTCCCTTTCCACCTAAGCACTGCAGACCAAAGCTGGAGAGCGGTCAGAAAGACTAGTAAGGAACAGTCCGAGAGAATCCTGGCCTCCAAAGGCAGGGTGAGAGGGAGGTCAGAGTTCCCCTCTCGTCTGAGCACCTGCTTCGCGGAGGGCGTCATGCCCTGTTGCACCACGATGAGGGCCCTGGTGATGTTCTCCTCCTGCATCCGCTGGCAGTACATCTTGATAGTCTTTATTCCAACCTTTGGCTCCTCTGGAGGGTAAAACACAAGATTAAGATTACCTTCAGCTCCAATTGTCACTTTCACCGTGAAGACCCTTACCCTTCTGAACCATTCTGTCTCCGTGGATCCAGAGCTCTTTCCTTACCTCACACCAAATATATGATTCAAAACTTCAAGAACTCATTTTTCAGTGTAGATCTTCCCTCTCATGATACAGCCTGCCACCCAAATGTGTGTCAGTGGATGGCTCCCTCAACTGCTATAGTCAGTGGCCAAACTTCCTATGATTTGTCTCTCTGAACTGGTGATGGGTCCAACTTAGCAGGACCAGCTAAGGCTTTAAGCATCTAGGGGCTCTTTCCTGCAACGGTAACAAAGACAATAAAGCACCAGAGCTGCCCAAGTGCTAAGACTTTAGCACTTCCATCTCTATACCAGAAGTGACAGGCAGCACTGTGTACAGGAGAGAATGCGGGGCGTGAAGCCAGGAAGCTGGCCGAGTCTACCCTGCTCTCTACGTGCCCCACTGCACAGCTTTCGACAAGCTGCTCCCCCAGTTTGGGTCGCCTCTGTGAAATGATGGAGCTGAACTTGACCTCCGAGGTCCTTTCCATTCTATGATGACAGTACTGGGAAAAACAGGAGGGAGCCGTGATGTGATGGACTGGATGGTGAGACAGAAATGGCTTTCTGAGGAAATAACAGGTACACCCAGATGGGATTTCCAGTTTACACAGAAATTTACACGTGCATGACACGGTAGCAGCTCTGGTAGACAGGTGGAATGTAGATAAACAGCAACATCCCAACCCCAAACCCTAGCACCCCTGTCGGGGAAGAGAACTGGGAGTTCACCTGGAAGCTGCCACACCAGATCAAATGTAGCTTTGTCAGAGTGGTCTTATCTGATAGACCTGCTAGGTGAGGTCACAGAGCCAATTCAACTAATCACAACTCACACTTCCATAATACATCAACATTTTACAAAACGCTTTCTTCCCAATAACCCCACTAGGTAGAATGTCCCATGCTTAGGGATGATGAACCTAAAACTTGCTGGTAACCCAAACTCCAAAGCCATATGCCTCCTACCTTCCAGAATTTTGGACTAGGAAATATACTTAATTTATTTTTCAAGACAATGGGTTCTCACTAGTCAGTCTCTTTTTTACCTGGGAAGAAGACAAACATCTGGTCTGTGGGGTCATCATTGTGGGCCACCAATACTGTGAGATCGGTGCGTCGAGGCCGTCCTTCACTGGGCTTATCCCCAAACTGGGCTTTGAACTCTTCCAAAGTCTGATCTAATTCATCCTGGGTCACCAAGTAGCCCCGATCATGACATAACTGTGAAAGAGCCAGATACTCTGTCAGAAAGGACTCCAAGAGAACATTCTGTTCATCTCGTGGAGGGGATAGAAATCTACCTTTTTTTGACTGTGAATGCCCAGACCTCACTCATAGTCAACCACTCAACCACTGTCACCAACTATTGAGAACTTCTCTCGTGCCTAATGTGAATCCCTCTTATTATACATATTACTTCTTCCCCCTGGACAATTTTGCTTAGCTGGGATACATTCGATGAGCATTATGCCAGCCCTGTCCCAACTCCTCCAAGGCCATTGCTTTCTGCTGTCCCAAATCTGGTCTGTTTATATATAAAGAACTACAATACTGACTTTGTAATCTTTTCATACCATAACCTCTACAACCCAGGCTCTGAAGGCAAATTAAATGTGTTCTTCCACTCAGGCTCTCACCTTACTTCAACAACTCCTCTCCCTCCAAATCTTGCTACTTTCTTGTTTGGCAAAATGTGAAACACACTTATGGAATGCTTTCAGGTTTGCAAAGCACTTCACACGTACTTATTTGATCCTTACAATCGCCCTAATAAACGAGATGCTAATATTATTCTCATATAATACAGGAGATGAAATAGAGTCAGAGGTTAAGTGATGTGCCAACAGTCACAGACCTAGTGCGTGCCTGAGGCAGGATTTGACCACAGACAGGTCCTGCTATATCCCTCCTCCACTCAGAGAGCCATTCCTTGCAACAATAAATAAAGAGTGGGGAGGGGGGAGAGGGAGGAAGCAGTTCAGTAAAACTAACTCATATAAACTCAAAATTACAGTATAGGTAATGGCTAATGGGTCTGTATACCAGAGATTAAAGAAAGAGGAAAAAGACAGACATGTACAAAAGCATTTTTGTGATAGCAAAGAACTGGAAACTGGGCAGATGCCCATCAACCGGAGAATGGCTATTCTCCAGTTATAGTAAATTAATGCGATGGAATGCTACTGTGCTATAAGAAATGATGACTGGGATGGGAAAAAACTGGGAAGACTATTAACTGATTGGAAGTGAAGTGAGCAGAACAATTTATACAATAACAATAACACTGTAAAGATAATTCACTTTGAAAGACTTAGGAACTCTGATCATCAAAATTCCAAAAGACTCATGATGCTATCTACCTCTAGGTGACAGACTCAGTGCAAAGTGAAACATTGTCTTTTCTTTCTTACACATGGCTAATATAGGAATTTGTTTTGCATGACTACATGTATTTGTAATGAGTTTTGTTTTTCTTGCCTTCTCAATGGGTGAATGGAGAATTTGGAACTGAAAATAAAATAGAATTTAAAAAAAATTGTTTAGGTAATGTTCAGGATCCATAGTCTTCACCTCCGCCAAGAAAGGAAAGAAGTGTGTTTTCTCACCTTTTCTTCCAGGCTAAGTCTGGCCAGTACAACCACACAGCCTTCAGTTCTGCCTTGGTCCATTCCATTTACACTGTTGTAATCACTGCATATGTGGCTTTCCTAGTTCTAATTACTTCACTCTACCTGACTTCATGAGTGTTGCCACGATTCTTTGAATTCTTCATATCTGTTGTTTTTTTTACAGCACAGCAATATTCATGACATTCACACGCCATAATCTTAAGTCATGTCCACTTGTGGGAATCTGCTTTAGTCCCTAGTTGTTTGCTACTAAAAAAGCTGCTATGTTGGTGTTCGTGGGGTGTTTCTGTCTTTGATGCCCAATAGCTAAGATAATGAGGGAACTAACACATATTAGACCAAGAACCATACATCAATGGATAAATGATCAAAAGACATGTACAAAGTTTTCAAAACAAAAATCGCAAACTGTTAACTATTTGAAAGAATGTTCTAAAAAAAGAAAGAAATGCAAATTTTAAAAAAATCCTGAGGATTCACCTTCTATTCCCAAAATTCACAATAGATGGGAATAATCAATATTGGAGGAGGAGTGCAAAAAGGTAGGTATGCTTAATTTACTGTTGGTGAAAGCAATTTGGAATTATAACCAAAAAAAATGACTAACCACAGCCTTTGCCTAAGAGACAGGCAAACAAGCCTAGCTGATGCTAAGGGAAAAATAGTAAGACAGAGTTCATACAAGGTGAGTCAAACCTCTACCAGTTCTACCACCACCTCCCTTGAAACCTGAAAGGACACAGCCCAGGATCTTGAATCTAATGGGGGAGACAACAAGCAAACGAATACGTACAAACAAGCTATATACAGAATGAATAGGAAATAATTGCTAGGGAAGGTATTAGAATTAAGAAGGGTTGGGAAAGGTTTCCTGTAGAAGATTTTAATTGGGCCTTAAGGAAGAGAACTCACCAACTATATAGTATATGTGGTGAACCAGTCGGCATAGCTTAAGCAGCAAGGCACTCACCATAAGAGAGAAACAAAAAGCACTGTATGCCAGCCAAGATGAACCATCACCACCTCCCTTCTATTGGAGATATCTTATGAGTCTGTACCCAAAACCTTGTGAAATATGCCCAAGACCACCAGCCCTGATTCCAGCTAGGGTTTCTGCTTCCAGGAGAAATCACTCTGGAGAAGCCACTCTGGTGGCTCATCTTCCTTGCCACCATCAATACCAACTGCTAACTAAATGCCACCGACTAGCAGGTAAGCCCAAGTCCCAGGAGTGGCAGTACTTCTCTAGGCCACTGGTCCTGCTTTTAGCCCAGCCATCATCCTGGGAAACAACTCCTGTGGGGATGTGGCCTACCCATTGCTTCTGAGGGTGCTGCAGTCACAAGTTACTGAAGACCCAGAAAAGAATGTGATTTTGTCCTTCGCACTATCAAATGATTTAATATCAGAAACCGACATGATTTTAGCAGTGGAAACATCATTAAAAATGATGCCCCACTATCTGCTTTGCCACTGCAGTCTGAGGACCACGGGACCTTTCCATCTGACTTGCAGCTGAAACCTTCTCCATGTGTTCTCTTGCCCATTACGACTGTGAGTTCCTAGAAAGCAGGGAGTGTCTTTTCTATTTGCATCCCCAGCATTAAGCACAACGCTCAGCACTAGATAAGTCCTTAATAAAGCACTTTTAAAATTCATTCATTGAGAGACTCCACAGCTAGCCCAAATAGGAGAAAGACAAAAAGGCATCACACTTATCAAAACGTCGTAGCAGCACATTTTGCGGTAGCAAAGAACTGGAAATGGAGTAGATACCCACTGATTGGGGAATTGCTAAACAAACTGTGGTACATGAATGTAATGGAATATCATTGTGCTGTAAGAAATGATAAATAAACCCCCAAGAATTCAGAGAAGCACAGGAAAATCCCTGATTGATGAAATGACAGCGCACCGTAAAGCAAAAACACGCGGACCTTCCCCCAAGGGGATCCACGCAGGTCTGACCCCCTCCCCTTCTAACATGTCTCTTCCTCATCAAACTGCTCTTGCTCCCTCTCCCTCTCCCCGTCTCCCCCCGCATTTCTCCAGCCTCCTCTCCCGTCCCTTCCCAGAACCGCCCACGCGCCCCTTCTCTAGCCTTTCTCTCCCACAACCCCCCACGCGCCCGCTTTCTGCCTTACCCACCCTCTACCCTGACGGGCCCCCTTCCTTTCTCTACCGTTCTCGGGGTCAAGGGAGGCTATCCTCGTACCTGCATTATAGTCTTGCGGATCTTCCATAACCGATAGGTCTCCTCTTCGTCATCCATGTCACCTTCGCGTCAGGCCACAGAAGCGACTAAACGCTCTCGAGTTCTCCCGCAGCGCACAACACTCAGCCAGGACCCCGAAGGAACTAACTGCAGTAAGGCCTAGTATCGAAGCGAGTGCGTCTGCGCGAAGCCCAACAGCAGGCCCCCTTCGTGCCTGGGCGCAGGTGGCCTAGGAGAGTGCCTGAGAGTAAGAGAGCAGGCAGTGCGGCCGACAAGCAGACGACTGAGCGTTCTGAGGTCGGAGGTTGGTTGTTCTGTTTGAGGCGCCCCGCCCCGGGAAATTCTCGCGTGTCTTTAGGCGCAAGGGTGCCTGGGAGTTGTAGTTTTCCAGATTGTCGGTCCTCTCAAGCTCTGGGTTCTTGGAATGTCAGAACTGGGAGGGAGGGATGTCAACAAATATCAGGCTTCTACTGTGTTCTCAGTGACAGGAGAGACACAAAATTTAGACAAGTCATTGCCCTCAAGGAGCTCTTATGGAGATTTCACGTCATCTACCTCATTTTATTGAGGAGGAAACTGAGGCCCATAGAAGAGGGAAGAGACGTTCAAAATTATGCAGCAACCTAGTGGTAGCCAGCGTTGATTCCACATTCTGCGCTTTTCCGATACTGAGGAATAGTGTCAAGTCAGTTTTCTCCCAGGTAGTCAATTCGTCCGCTGATCTTGGCGTCCAGGGAATCACAGGATCTTAGACTTGGAAAGGCCTTCAAAGTTTATTTAGTTCAATCTGCATCAGAACAGGAATCCCATTTACAACAACCAGGGTCCCTGCAGTTCTGTTTAATCTCCAGCTAACAAAAGAGAGGGGCCATTTTGGAATCTCCAGTTTCATAAGTAATAAATTCAGATCTAGAAAAGATCTTATAGATCTGTTGGGGATCTGTAAGGATGTAGAGGGCCACAGGCTGCTCATGAGGTCTCACTGATGAGCGGAGGCCCCTCTCGGGTGATTGATCTATGAGCAAAGGCCGCCTGGTTCAGCGCTCCATTCTATGCATCTCTAACTTCCCTAGTTACTCATTAGTCATTAACAGTGTATTTGTGATTGGTGGTAGGTAAGTGCACGGACTGTGCATGCACTGTCCTTGAGCACAGCATGGGTTATGCATCATTGTAACTTGAGAAAGAGTTCCTGTTATTTTACTCTACAAGTAAGTGCTTTGCTAAAAATAAATGGAGTTGCTGCCATCTTTTCTCCCGCCTCATCAATGCGTGCTCGGAGTGAAAGATCAAGCTGGCCTTGATTCTTCGGTGATTGGGAAATCCTAGGTCCTAGGTAGGCTCTGTAGCCGAGTGAACTAGTTGTGCACAACAAACTGACACCCAACGTGGGGCTGCACTGAAGATACAGAGAGTAAGACAGCTGCATGAAACAGTCGGGAAACGTCTGGACCAAGAAGACACGACACCCACATCAAGACACCGAGGTCTGTTGGAGCCAGGCAGCCTCCTTGTGAGAGGTCTCCGAATCGCATCCCGTTGCAAGACTATGGAGTGGTAAGAGAATTTCTTACCATGAGGCAAAATCTAGGTAAACTCTTAGATAAGGAGCAAAATGTTAGAGTAATATATCAAGTGATCAAGGAACAAGGGTGCTCGGTAACTCCCAAGAAAATAGGAGAGTTTCTAGACATTATTGATATAACATCTCCATGGCTTCCAAGGGAAGGGAGTTTAGATTTAGAACCATGGAAGATAGTGGGGGAACAATTGACAGAATTTTATAATACCAAACCAAATCAGTTCCCCTGGGCACTTTCACTATATGTAGTCTTATAAAAATGGGCTCGCAAGCTGACATACAGGGTGAGAAGAGAAAATTCCCTGCCTGTACTCAAACTTCTTCGTTGTGCTCACCTAACAATAGCAGAGCAGGCTCTCCTGAGAGAGAGAACAGACCTAAGATTTATAGGTTATATCCTGACTTAGCTGAAGCTTCAAAACCCCCTCCACACTCTCCATACCCTGAGCTGTTAGATAGACTCAAGCAGTTACGAGAGGTCCCTATACAACTACAGATTGTTTTGCCTTTTATAAAAACCAAAACCTTAAGAAAGATTTTGCCTGGTTTTAGAATACCATGGAAAGAAAAATAAAATAAAATAGTATTATTTCATTTGTGTAATTTCTGACAAGTTTCTCGCTTTTGGATTCTCCCTGTCATTTTGTTCTATGTTTGTCTGTGTCTGTGTGAATGATGGTCTGTGATTAATGTCTTATAATTTTTGATCTTTCACTGCCAGGCAGCCAAGGGCTGCAACTGGATTCTGAAATGCTGATAGTGACTTTCTCCCCTTCCCCCTCCCTAATACCAGCCGCATTCCGGGAGGGTGGATGGGGGAGAGAATGGGAGAAAAAGTACTTCATTATTTAGGTTATATAATTTGACAAAAGGCAAGAAAGTTTAAGCATACAGGAATAAAGAAAAGTATGGATAGAAAGAATAATATAATCTGTTTGCATGAATAGCAGGAATAGATGATTTGAGAGTAAAAGATTTGGAAACTTTTGGAGAAAAAATTCTCTTTCTTTTTTGCATTCTAAGGCTCTGGCCAAAGCTTTGGGTGTAAGATTGAAAGATTATGTTGAAAAATATTCTCTTCCTTTCTCTCGAATTCCAACCCTGGCCAGGTTGGGGTGGGGGAGAAAGAGGAAAAAGATAAGGAGGACGAGTTTTCCTCTTAAGATCAAAAAGAAAAGTTTTTAAGTATTGGAACACAATCTAAAGATAATTTAGTTCATTCACATTAGCAATATGCATGTTTCAAGTTTTAAAAAATCTAGTCTCATTACAAATTGGTACACTTTTATGTGTTATGTCAAGCAATTTTTAATAATTTAGATGTTATTAAAATGTGAACTAAAAGAAACTGAAAGGTAGTGAGATAACTGTGTAAATCAGCTAAATTATTTTATCAAGTCCGGTTAATCTTGTTCTATGATTTTTTATAACTGTCATTTAGAAAATCAGGTATTTCTGTCTTTACCTATGATTAAAGAACAGCTTAGAGCTAAAACAATTTAACTATCACTCAGGAAAATTACCAAATTGTTAACTAAGTTATTTGAAGTTACTGTTTTAAAGTTAAGACCTAGAATTTTTAATTACTTCTGAGAGAAAAGGAGGGGCACAAGGCAATTCCCTTAACTTTGTAAGCTTGCCAAAAGCTCCTACCAGCTGTGTGCCAAGGTCGTCTGCTCTGAGAAAAGAATTTGTTTATGTTATTGAGTTCCTAAACAATTCATTTAGCTTACTGAGAAATTGCAACTTTATATAAATAATTTCTAATAATTGGCTTTCTCACCAAGACAAGTTTAAATGTGGGAAAGAAAGGATGTTAAGTAAAATTTCTTATATATGTGAGACCTAGTAAATCTTTATTGCTTATTGCATTTCTATGAAAATAATTAACTGTATCTGGCTTTAAGCCATAATCAGTGAAACTTACTGCTTGAGGTAAAAGACTCTTAGAACTATAATTAATTTTGTTTTGAGTTTGAATTTGGGTATAGTTGTCTCATTAAATCAGTATTTCCCATTTTCGCTATTGTGATCCTTTAAGGAGGAATGTTTCTTACCATGTGCCGAAATTTTGTTCATAACACTATTAAACTTGTTAGTCAGAAATATTATAAACTTTGCAGTTGTCCTACTACTACCAAACTCTCCTTATTAATGCCCAAGTTTTAACAAGCCTTTCAGTCTCATAGATTTATAATTACCCCTGACAAGGTACAAAAGGTATCACCCTTTGCTTACTTTAGGTATATTGTTCTACAGTCTACAAGGATACCACCAAAATGTTACAAATTAATCAAGATTCCTTGATAATTTTTAATAAGTTTCATACAATTTTTACGGATATTAATTACTTTTAGCTTGTCTAATAAATCACCACTAATCAATTATTTTAAGATGAATTTAAACTACTAGGATAACAGATAGCTAAAACTCAATTCATTTCCCCTTAATTTGTGGGCACGATATTTTACATTTACTGAGAGCTGTTATTTTCTCCTGCCCACTGTTTGTGCTTTTTCTATCCATAAAACTGACAAAATACAAAACGAAATCTAATGAACTTGTTTGGGTTCCTTAAAATTCATCTGTTTTTATTATTGCAAAGTAGTCAGGAAAATTCACGATGCTTTATGACTTCCCAGCCTTTGATAGTTATTGATTTAAAAGATTGCTTTTTTACTATTCCATTACAAAAAGCTAAAAATGATACATTACATGGATGACATTTTATGTGCTCATCCTAATCCTGAAGTGTTAGAAGAAATTTTACAAAAAACACAAGAATTGTTGCAAAGTCATGGGCTTCAAATAGCCCCAGAAAAGATTCAAAAACATCCACCATTTCAATATTTAGGCCATCAAATACTTCAAGAGAAAATAGTTTTACATCCACCAACAATAGACCTACAAAAATTGAAAACACTTAATGATTTTCAGAAAATTATAGGAGATATACAGTGGCTTCGGTCACAGGTTGGCATTCCAAATTATAAATTGATACCCTTGTATGATTGCCTTAAAGGTGATCCTCAATTAGATTCACCCGGATACTGACCCCTGAGGTGAAGCAAACATTGTTGTATATTCAGGAACAAGTAGTTGGAGCACACACAAACAGGATTGATAGGCATGAAAGCATGGAAGCTTCTATATTTAACACCCCAAATTCTCCAACAGCAGTAATACATCAGAAACAAAGGCTTTTAGAATGGGTATATTTACCATCTCAGTCAAAAAACACTTTAAGTAATTATATGGTCCTGATAGGGGACTTAATACATAAAATTGATAACAGATGTTTAAAATTATGTGGCACGCATTGAGAAGTCATATACCTTCCATTTTCTCAACAAATAATTGAAATGGCAATACAAACAATGCCTAACTGGCAAGTGAATATCAATTTGAAGCTTGTGTATGGAAAACCCCTTAAATATCATGTTTGGCCTTGGATACAACCCACACATACATCAGGTGAACCTGTATATGGAATTAATGTCTTTACTGATGCCACAAAGATGAATAAGGCTTCTATGTGGTGCCCTAAAAGAAAGGAATTACAGGTGATTAATATACCTTTTACCTCCACACAACAGAATGAATTATATGCTGTCTATTGTGCCTTTTACAAATATAAGGAGCCAATGAATATCATCACAGATAGTAAATATGTAAAAGGAATCCTAAAACACCTAGAGACTG